GCGACATAACTTTTGTCAACAGAAAAATTATGAACTTGAGGCTATCTCAGTCGATAGAATAGCCAAGGCCGTACATCAAACAATATGCACTCTTCAGTAGGTCTAATTCAGAAAATATCTTTCTTTAAAGCATCCCATCAAATAAACATGTGATCATAAAGCCAAATCTCATTAAAACTATTACATACTGTTTATATGGATACAAAAAAATCTAAATCTAAAATAAAACTACTCTTAATATTAAGATCCTGAGTTCAAGCCCTATGTTACATAGTTACATCTCAATATTTAATGAATGTTTTATTTACTGTTCAGTTCATCAGAAATACTATCATAAATGTGTAAGATTTTATTTAATTGACATGTTTAGTTTCATTTTTAAATAGTTATGTTTAATTATTAATTACATTTATAAATTTCTGTACTTCAAAAATATATTATTTAATTAATATTTTGCTAATATATTTTGAATATAAAAATTATCTATTCTCGGAATTAATCTTTTCTTTTTTATGGTCATTACCCAGGATTGCTTTAATGTTATGTTAGTTTAATTTTAACATTTCCATGTAGGTGCAAGGTTGTTATATTTATTGTATTTTTTATGAATCTTAATTTGGGCACCATTAGGATAGACCATATGGTCAAGTATTCGCTTGATTTTAGGTATAACAAAATTTAAAACATATAGTTGATAACTAAATGTTAATACCTGTTATAGTTGATTACACATACTTTGGATAACAATCTAGAAAACCATATGTTAAAACATATCTTATATGTGTTTAATAGATGGAAATTACGCGTGACGATAAGCATTTTTCTCGGTAAATAATAAAATGAATCATTATATATGCTAAATAGGTGATAATGTTTTGTGTGTAAATAGCACTCACTATTGATCCCAAATTCTATCCGCCCTGTGGAACAGAACCGGCTGCAAATCCGAATTGACAGCGACACCAGAAATCTGGCCCAAATTCAACTTATCTTTCGGCCAATTCTTCACTGCAACCGGGGTGTCTGGTTTGTAGGTTTCCTGATCTTCAATCGAAGACTCCTGCAAAAGAAAGTTTTTGAACATCTGGTTGCCTATGATACATCTCTGGAAAAAGTGTATATGGGTATCAAATTTGATTGTTGTTAATATCAGGTGGATTAATTTTGAATATGTAAACTTCTAGTTGACCTGCTTCTGCAATCTGTTGTTGGTCAGCGAGAGCAGCTGATTCACTTCATCCAACAGCTCAGTCTGGGTTATTCCCGATGGTAGGGCCGTAAGAAATCCGGCACTGAAGAGCAGAGTAGCAGCGACGACGACGACGGAGGCCGCCATTGTTACAACTGACTGTTTCAAATCGATATTATTATGTTATACAAACCCAAGTTTGAAGAGTGCATGCGCGCGCTCTGGGGAGCATTCTATATTAGTAATAAATTCGCGCAAGGTCACACTTCCGGTTCGCAAAAATAATTAAATCAATCAAGGTTCAGTAAAGTTTGATTTATTCACAAGTGTTTATCACATTTGCAATTTTGATTTGCACAGAATATAAGCTTAAGAACACATTTAAATTTCCCTATCTAATAAATGTATATTTATATATATATGTTTAGTATTCTATATATTTGCGGTTCTTTTTACGGTGATAAGATAAAAGTGCCAGAAACAGTCTTATTATTTATGTTTATGGTTCGTTTCTGTGGTCGTCGAGGTGTTTGTTGGACTCTCGGCGACCTCTTCTTTGCTATATTTCCTCAAGTCCGGGCTGCGACCAAATGTAACCGGTTGCGGTCATCGAACAGTAAGCGTTGTAGTAACGACCTGGAGCTCTGCAGAATGACCAAGCCGGACATTTGCAGCGGAACAGATTCTGAAACTCTTCCTTGCACACCTCATTCCACCAGCATGTTCTCTACAAACAAACGTATTAGAACGAAGCAACGTGCCCTATTGGGTTCAACCTCGGTTAGGTAACCTTTCACGGATTGATCGGCGAAACTGCGTCTGGTTATAACGCGACCATCTGCAGTTTTTAGTCCGTCCACCACCAAAAGTAAAATCGCAAGCTTTGAACAGAGATTTCGAAACACACAGGTTTTAATAGATATGTTTTGGGATCTGTTTTGTGTTCTCACCTTCAGCAACATCTTGTAGGAATGAACGGCGAAATTAGCAACGTTCCTATCGATTTTATATAACATCACAGATACTAGTGCCATCTGAAAACTAACATCCGAATTTATTATATAAAATTATATAATATTTTCAAGAAAACCCTAATGAATTACAAATAGAAACAAACTAATATGTTAATTAGAACAATAATTGATTGCTTATATCTATACGTACAATCAATACAGTAATCGCATTATATAGTATACAAATCGATATAGTTTTGTTTCCTTTATAAAATATTTATATTTCAGAGCTATTATTGAGGATCCTATAGCAGCTGCATATTTTGTTAAATTATGTTGCGTGTGTAAGTATCACAAAATTGATTAATAATTGAAATGAAATAAAAAATTAAAAAATTACTAAGTATGCTTTATTAATTTTCTATTATAACATCACAGACTTGTTAGACATTCATTTCCCAGCATTCAAGACAGGCCATAAGGCCGAATCCCAAGATGATGAAACAGGCTCTACTCATCCTGTAAACTCTGCGCTCTTTTTCCCTGTTGAGTACTTCGAAAAATGTAATGTAAAGTATAGTTCCAGCGGATAATCCCTCAATCAACATGACCCATATAGTCTTGGCTTTTGTGTTCATGTCGGCGTTTAAAGTAATCAACAGTCCAAAGAAAACTCCTAAAGGGCTCGTGATGGAAAGAATCGATACGTGGACGATGATTGTCCTAATTTTAGTATTCGCTAATAATAGCTCGAGTCCAATGCAGAACAGTATCGTTGCGGAATGAATCGATATTGCCAGAAATAAATACCATATGTTTGAAATCGAAGTTTGCAGTCCGATGGCCAAACCTTCGAAGAATGCGTGTAAAGATAAGGCCAAAACGATAAGAATTCCTCTAATTATCTGTTGCTGGGTCATAGCCTTTGAATCTATCAATTTGTCCAGTTCCTCAACTTGCTCAAACTCCTTACTTTTTTCCAAGGTAATATCTAACTCCTTTTCGATGGCCAAATCTTCAACTACAGTAACTTCAGGTGCTACCTGGTTATTCTTGCTCTCGCAAGGTTCTTCGGGTAACCTGGAGATAAAGTATTGCCCAAGTTCTTCGATGAAATAAATTAGGAAAAAACCAAGCGAAACTATGAGCTGCGAGAAAGGATATTGCGAATTTATAAGTCCGAACTTTTTCAGCTCTATCGTCGATTCGTACACTTCGGGTATCATGTGCAGGAAGCACGTGGCGAAAATAACACCGCCTCCGAAAGCTTGAAAGAGCGCCAAACCCCAATGGATTTGCTTGTGTCGTCTCTCGTTGACGAATGTTTCTGTGTTGCCATCCTCTTCATCTTTGAGTTTTAACAATTTGTAGATTTTAATAGGTAAAACGCCGAAGAAGAACCGCACGACGCCGAACAAACAGGCAACAAGAACTTTGGTGTCCCTCAGATCCATGCCGGACCGTGAACTGTTTCGATTTTTCACCAAGTGGCGTACTGGAGTGATGACCGCGTGCGCGGAACTTTAACAGTTGCGAGCTTTTTAAGTGGAATAAAAAGGAAAAAAAAATCAATTTGAAAGGACACGCAAAAGAAGTTTATTAAACATGCAATTCATTTGGGACCATCTGTCTTGCAGTAGCAGTCATAACGTTCCAGGACTCTCCTGAATGGATGCTTAGAAAGTTGGTCACTGTATTCCGTACCATTTATGAAACTATCCACCATCGTTAAATATTTGTTTTCCTCTTCCATACCTTGCTGCAACTTCTTCTTCATATCTTCCATTTCTCTCTTCTGTAAATGAAAAACTATTTATTTAAAGGACTCCTCAATTATTTACCTTTTTTACTCTAAGCAAGTTATTATATTCAATTTGTTTCTGCAGATCCTGTCTGTACTCCTGGGCTGCTCTCTTGGCCAGTCTCGCTGCTTCAACATCTAATTTCTTATTGACATCCATTGCTTGTCGTATTGCTTCATTCTCTTTCTTTTTGAATTCCAACTCTTTTTCGGCTTCCTTTCGCTTCCACGTCAATTGCTCGAATCGACCTTTCAGCACCTCCTGCAATTAAAACTATAATAATTGATATCGGATAGTTGGAGATTTTACTTCAGCCAGTTTCCTTTTAGCTTGAATGAGTTTACACTGTTTTTTATCTTCGACGGCGTTCACGCTCTTCTGATATTCTATAACCATTTCATCGAACTTCTTTTCATCGTCTTTTTGTTGTTTAGCCAGTTCCATTAGGTGCTGTCTGTAAGCTCTAGTTTCCAATTTTGCTACTAGAGAGGAAGTGGCAGCCTTTTGTTTTTCTTTTGCAAATTCGATATCGGCCAAAGCTTTAAATGCATCTTCCAGCGCTTGTTCTTCCTGTTTTCTAAGCGCTTCAAACTGCTTTTTACTCTGTAGTTGTTTTTTTAAATCATTTGACTCCTTCTGCCGTTTCAACAGACGCTGCTTATTGTCTGCAAACAAATATAATTATTTTCATTAATTCATCAATATTAGATCAATTTACCTTCGTCCTCTTGTCGCTTCAAACGTTCCGCCTGTCGCAGCATTTCTTCGCGATCTGATTGCTCTACAGCTTTCCGCTCCAATTCCAGCAATCTCTGATTGTTAACATTTCAATTATTTGTATTAACTTTTAAAATTTCTTACATGCGTTTTTTTTTAGAATTATTTGATTGTCAATGATGTATTTATATCGTAATAGCACTTACTTTTCCTTCAATTTGCATTTGCAAAATTTCTTGATCTTTTCTGTCGCGTTCGTGTTTCATTAAAGCATCTTGAGTTTCTTTCTCTAACTGAAACGATATTAATTATACGCATCTCATGGTAATTACAGCAATTTAGTTACTCTTGCTAAATCTTCTCTTCTCTGTACATCCTGCCACATCCTGTCCAATTCCCTTTCGGTTTCCCTACGGACCTCGTTATCTTTCATCTGCTGAAGTTGTCCGAGCTTGGACTCCACTAAATGCTTTCGTATCATGACAGGACGAAGTTCCATGCAGCGATTGCTAATATATTTATGAGCGTTGATTAATAAAAGCAATATTTATATACATATAGAATGGAACATACGCGTATTGCTGAATGCGCTTCTTCTTAACGATTTCCAATCTCTCCTTCTCGTTGGCCTGCCTCAACATGTCGCAGCGTGTCTTCATTTCCTCTAACTTTGTATCTTCTGCCTTTTGGGACAAATCCACCGTCTCCCTTATTAGCTCTCGCTCCTCATCACCTAAAAGGACTCGCAATCTGATCAAATTCATGTTGGATTCTCTTCGAAAACATGCTAAATCAATTACGCTTCTCGTCTTCGTTCGACGTTTGCTTCGTAGTGTTCCAGCTTCTGATTGAGTCGCTCCTTGATGTGGTTCTTGAAACGATTTTTCTCTGCCCTCTCCTGCGCTTGGATGTTGCTCATTTCCACGTAGTTCAATTTGTCTGCCGAGCCGATGGAATTCTTGTGATCCTCATGCTCACGCAGCCGGTTTAACAGCATTTTCGCCGCGTAATCCGTGTTCGGATTTCTGGCTCTCTGTAAAGAAAAAAACGACAACAAAGAGAAATTGTGTCAATGCAACATTCAATTACACAACAAATTAATTATAAACGAGATTGTCTTCTAGCCGATAATTACATGAGCGTAAGTGCCGTCGCTGGTGTGCGGCATCCATAGGTCCCTCTGCAGCAGCGGAGGACGCTGTCTGCCATGGGTTGGGAATTTTGGAACTTCGGCATTACCACCGAACATTCTCTGTTTATGATAAAAAATATGTAAACATAAGACCGCACTCTGCACAAATGACACTGTTGTGCTTGTCTTATAAGGGTTGAAGTTCCATTCAAAAAAACTATGGCAACCAAACAAACATCTATTGATTTAATAATCACAACTCTATTAAGTATTTTATTTATTCCTACAGATGGAACTTCGAATATCGAATAAAATCTATTTGTTTGCCTTTCGAATTCAATTTTTTTTCTATAGGAAATAGAATAAATTGAGTTCGATCTTGACTTTCAAAATTATCCTTATTTTTATTTTGTTCGGTTCAAGCAAATTCGAAGATCCACTGAATTTGATGTATTCCGTGTAAGTCCGTGTAAAAAAATAACTGTCATAAAAACATCTTCAATTTATTTTGAATATTACATAGATGCGGCAAAATGACAGTTACTGGCAAATATCTTGCATAACGGCAAGAAGTGAGGAAGTATTAATTTAGTGTTTCGCAACGTTTTCTGATATGATTAGCATGGAAGAGATATAATATTTATTATTATTTTATTAGAATGTACCGCGGAGCGCACAACGGAGATGACCTATTCACGTTGGAAAATTGAGAAATTGTTTGGAGGCGAAGTGGCAAAAAGCGTTTAGCAATAAAAGTGAAATGATCTCTTTGGCAGTCGTTCGAGTGGCGCAGCTGAGGCTTCTGCCTCTGATCCCACGGATGGTTTCGCAATCGACCATCGGTGGCTCGCTGATCTCTCACCATCATCATCATCATCCAAGAGGCGTCTTCGGCATCCACACTAATGAAACATTTTGAAATAATTGCTCCAGTTCCTGCGGCCTTCATGATATTTATTACACTGCTGCACACTCGTTATTTAATTTATTCTTTTTATTGCGAAAAAAAATATAACAACGACGTATTACCATCATCAAGAAGTTCATTCGGGTACAACGGTTATTTTTATTATACAATAACGGCTTTGCGCCAAAAGCAGTAGTGTCTCTAAGGTCGTTTAACCGGGGCTTCCAAACAGTATCTAAAACAGAATTCATCAATATTTTTTTATATAAATTTGAAATTCTTTTCACAATTTATGCCCGAGACTTCAAAATCAATGGACGACACTGCACAAAAGCCTAGTCTTATACAGGAAGTATGTCATTTGTTTCAACAAATATTTTACTACTATTGAAAGGTGTATAATTATAGCTTTACACAAGAACGTTTTGATCTTAAGACAAGTTTGGAAATAGAATGTGCGAGAAGTTACTTTAATTCCAAACAAAAGTCGTTTCTTGAAATGTCAAAGTTCCTTAATATTCCTTTCATCAACAGATAATGTTGATTACGTGAGGTTCAACACTAATCTCATCAAAATAAATATGAATTTAAATAACTGCTTTATGATTTTTTTTCTTTCTCTAAATTTTTATAATTTCAAAAGAATAATCATCAAAATATAAGATCTAAAACTATTAATTTTAATACATAACATATATAGTATACAAGAACATTGTACCAAGAAATATGAAAATTGTCAAACATTTGAGCAATTAATTAATTAATTCTGTTTACTGCAATAAGGCAATACATAATTGTATGTGTGCGAAAAGACTGCAGTCATAGGCCTTTGTACGTATGTTTGTATGTGAATGTATACAATAAATTATTTTTATTATTAATTGTATATTATCAAAGAGTGAGAAATTCAACTGCTATTATGTAAAAGATAATTTAGTTATTACATTAAACATAAATGTCGAAGGACATTATTGTTGATGGTCTAGTCACTCTAAGAAATATGTGAATTAAAAAAAAAAACTATCAACAAATGATTACAGTTTGGAAAAAAGAGAAACTTATGGCAACAAGTTTATTGCTGTATATATTAAACAGCGGAAAAGAAGTACAAAATGTAATTTGTCATGCAAAATAAAAAATCTTATGAACATTAAAATGCAATTCACAAGACATTGACATTACGCTGTTAATTATTTAAGGAAGTTGTGTCGGTTATGCGTATCGACGATGGTCGCTCCTGTCTTTAGGTGAAAGCAAGAATATGCTTGCATTCATTGTGTCCGAGGTGGCGAATTTTCCGTCTAATTACGACGACGTGTAGACAATACCGAAAGCATTTAATCCCATTACATGCGAAAGCTCTTCACCGCCTTTCGCAACGTGACATTTTCCGATATGGAAAAGAAAAAATGAGTCGCGGATTACATTGCTTCGCCATACTTAGTAACCAATTGGCATCCATTTGGAGTGGAAAACAAAATGGAATTACAAGGAAATAATTTTAAGAAACATGAGTTTTCACGCGGTGCACATACTTTCATTTCCATCTTCTTTTTATTTATTACTACTTGATATTTCTGATTTTATTTAGGTTTTCTTTCAAATAATTTAATTTTTAAATTAATTCATTTACGAAGTCTATATTTCTTAATATTTTGTGTAGACTTTTTATCAAAATCAAAATTTATTTTCTTATATAATAATAATATTTATTAGTCTTTCCGCCCAGAGACACAAAAAACATAAATTGTCTCAATAAATCATATAAAAAAATGCATTCTGAAAAAAAGTAAGACGTACATATATGTAAATATAAAAAAGATGAAATTATAAATTAACCCAAATAAAAGTAAATCTTCAAATAATAATATATTCTGAAGCATTCGGCTGAAGAATGATAAAATTGTCTCGAATGATGTCTCGAAAAGCAGACGCGTTTCAACATTAAAGTTGTCTATAAATCTCAAGCGCTGCAGCAACTCTGCGCGATTTTATACATTCTTTGGCGAGTTTAATTTGATAATATAGGTGTTAACTATGTGGTCATGTATTGTTATTGACCTGTGAATTCTGTTGTCCTGTTGTCTTTTATTAAGTGGCCCTACTTTGATGTTAGGTATACCAGGTATGGGTTTTGTTGGCCTCTTCGGACATTTGGAAGACCATGCAGCATGATCCTCCGAGTTGCATGCCATACATCGGTGGGGGAAGTGGCGAAGTGCATCGGTTTGTCGTATGTTAGCCCATGCATTTGGAGCACTTATTTTCTTATTAATCTTGTATTCAAATTTGATTAATATGAATATTAGACGATAAATTAAAAAAAACTTTTTGTATTGTAGACCAGACATGTTAATCAGTAAATTACAATTAACAAAACTTTTTGGCAAATTGTTAAAACATCTCTATCATACAATTTTTTTTTGTATATGCAACCAAATACACACGGCTGTGTAATTACAATATTTTTTAACTCAAATATGTTAAGCTTTGATATGTTATCAATTGCTATACAAATATAACAAAATCGATAATCTACAACTTTCATACACATTCGATACCAATATTTTACGAACAAATACGACGTTACAAATTAAAAACAACAAAAACTAACAACACATTACTTAGCTTATACTTTACAAAGCAACACAATATTTTTTATCGCTAGTTGGAATAGTTTGAAGATTTTATAATTAAATTAACAAGAATTGAGTTATAAGGTACAAATAATTATGCGAATTTTTTATTATACAAAAGTTGCACATTGAAATTCAGGAAATGTTTTGATACACTTTCTTACGTGAGAGAATTGTTCAATGAGAATCCTTTCTGTTTTGTTAAATTTCTATCGAATGAATAACAAATAAACAACATTTTATATTTGAAATATTCGAAGTCGTAGCTTAATAATTTGCATTAAAAAGAAGATAAATTAATTGTAGAAAAACGACTTCCAAAAAATTCTAAAATCTCTAACTTGTTACAAGGAGATAGTGATAAAAAAAATTAACTGTCCAATCGAAAATTGATTATTTCTTTAATAAAAAATAATATTTTTGGAAGATGTACTATCTGTTTTATTGCATTTGTTTCTTTCGTCGTTTTTAATTAAATAATTGTGATGTTTACATTGAAAAGTATTTGTAAGTAAGTATTTTGTTTATTTTAATCTATTTTTTTCAAATTTATGCAGTTAGTAATACCGAATTTTACATATATAAAAGTAAAAACCATGGTAAAGTGTGGTAAGATAAGTATATTTTGCAATTTTTAAAATTCCCCGACTTACGAACAACCCTTTGGAACGAAACTAGTTCTTTAAAGACATGAAGTGTTCATGATTACATCAAGTCAAGTAACTCTAGTTTATATAATTAAATTAATTGTATAAATTTTATATATTTGAATCGAACGAATATGTATGCAAACGACTGTAGTTTATATTATAACAATGTATTCAATTCAATGTATTCAATTACCAAAAGATTATGGTATGTCACAGTGATTTTCACTTATTCAAATGAATTCATGAAACAACAAGTTTCATAAAGAGTTTAACATGTTTGTTTATATAGTAATGTGGAACGTAAAGCAATTGGTAAACAATAAATAATGGAAGCGCGGTTGGTAATGATGATGAATTTTAAATGATTTTCTCATACAAGAAACGTTTCGTGATCAAAGCAATTTACGTCTGAAGCAGAGGAGGATGGATTATAAAAAAAAAAGAAAAAAATCTTGCACAAGCATTCGCAGTCATGTTACGCTCTTCATCTCCTTGTTTAACTTTTATCCATCCGGCTCTCGATCTTTCTGTGTCACTTGATTCGGTTCTGCGTTAATTGTATGTAAAATTGTGAACCATTGTCGATATTTGCCGAGAATACATCCGATGGGTGCCTACAAGTAGGCTTTCTCTTCGACCGAAAGAACTTACACTTTCACCACAACGCCGCAATCATCTTAAACCGCGTACATTTTTTCTTTCTTCCTGCTTTGGGAACGATTCAAAATTTATTTATTACTTTTCGTCACCATTTACCAAAAAATTCTTTTATCTAAACATTATTGCGATATTATTTGTTTCTAAACAAAATATTTAAATCACAACTCAGAGATTTCATGAATTTTATCTAAACTATTTACTAAATAATTGAAATTTTTATTTGATCAATAATAAATGGTACGTATACCTAATTGAAGTTAATGAAAATATTTTTTTTTTCAAAAAAATATACAAATATTCAAATTTTAAATGTAGTTGATAGACTTTGTTGTTGATGATTAGTGGAAGAATAGAATACATAAATGCATTCAGCGAAGCGTTTGTTTTCTACGAATTGTTTGTTAAAATTAATTAAGACTTTCGTCGAGAATAATTACATAATTGACATATAAGCAACATCGTTCGATAGTTATTTAACACCGGTAAATTAAATTTTAATCGTCTGACAATTAAACTAATTTACGCGCTACATCCCTGAGTGCATCGCATAATCAAAGCATATTTTTAATTACATTAACACTTCTTGTTTTTTTCTTTTCATTCATGTTCTCATCACACGAACAATCATATGTTATATTATATTATCAGAGTGTATCTACAAATAATTGTGTTTATTGGCGCTGATAAGTACGTGACCCAATATGTTCAATTATGATTAGAAAAATATTTGCTCTCCATTATCAGTTCCCTATAAATTCATGTTATTTCGATGAATTACTCTTCGTTTCGTGTTAAACGAAATGTTGCTCACCATATTCCTGCTCGCACTCACAATTCTGCAGAGCAACAACCAAACGCATTTGATACGAAGAGACGTCCTGAACTGCAAGAAGAAGGACCAAACCATCGTCCTTCAAGATCTGATCTGGAACCCGCAAAAGTTAATAGTAAATAGAAATAGTTTATATATTTGACATGTTTTTTTTATTCTTTGCATCTTCAGGGTTGCAATGAAGTCCAAAATGTGGGAGGAGTGGAAATCACATGGAACATTTCTATTCCTAACTCAAAGTACTTAGCAATACCGCATTGTCTGGGTGATGATGGAGTTTATCAATATCGACTATGTAAAAACGGTAATTTTATAACAAAGGTTAATTGCGCGAATGTCCAATTGGAAAATTATTGTCCCAAAAGCATGGATAATTTCAAAGGAAAATGTTTGCTACTTTTAAATAGAATTAAAAGTGAAGATGCTTTTTGTCCTTACCATTATTCTATTAATTTTGGGATATACAAGCATTTGTTTTTGAATGAAAATATTTGGGCGCCGATTAAAAGAAACCTGGATTACGGTTACGGTGAAATGCTAATAGAAGAATTTTCGTCGGATTATGGTGAACCATTCAACCAAAGTATGGATTATGATGAAAATAATCTTCTGTTGAGCAACTGCGCAGTTTATGCGAACTCTAAATATGAGGTTGTACCGTGCGATTCATTAAACGATAAAGTTTGCATTTACGAACAATCTCATAATTTTCAACCAAACTTTTGCACGTTGAATGGAAAAAATTGCTTTAACGCTGATTACAATACTACAAATTCTGATTGTTATTGTTTAAGTACTGAGTTCTGCAATTTCGCCGAGCTGAAGGAATTTTACCAAGAAGGAATATTAAGAAAGAAATGCCAGAATGGATGTAAATTAGACTTGGTTTATGAAAGAGATAAATTGCTTTGGGCTACAAGCAAACGCTTTCCAGCTTATACTGGATGGGGATACTCGGAATCAGAGATATTCATCAAAGATGGACAAGTTGTCCAAGACAAACTTGGATGGAGAATTGCAATCCAAAAATTAAAATACCAAAATATTTGCGCTGAAAAGTACATGTATACGAAACCCACAATTGATTTTACTTATAATGATGATACGTTGAAAATACACGTTAAAAATGGTAAGCATTTCGCAAAAACTGAAAAGGGCATATATTTGTTTTGCTTCACGGATTCTTCGCCAGATCATTTGCGTAAGCAAATATACAAACTGACAGATCCAAATGATACGGGCGAAATCCCAATAGAGGAATCTGGTTTCTATTGGTGTGAAGGTTTTGCAGTACATAACTTTGAAAAAATTGTTTCAAAAAAATATTTGGCAATGGTCGAGGAAGTATATCCAATCGAAATAACTTTTAATATAGCCAAGGAGGATCCAACAACATCAGCAGTAGCTTACGATACACACATTAAAAAACTTGAAGATTTTATCAATAATAATTATTCTCGCAGTATTATCGTAAAGTTGAAATGGGCCAAAACTTTATCGATTGATTTCCATTCCAGAACAGTTACATATTTGGTTCACGTTTGTGGACCTAATAGAATAGCCTCATTATCAAGCTTATTAGAAATTGAAGAGCTATTAATCAATACCATACCAAAGAGTATAGTTTTGGGAAGACTGAGAAGTTTCTATTTCTGCGTAAATTCTGATACCACATTCAATAATGTTACATACAAATGGCCAACGACGTATGTCACTAGTTACGCTTCATCGGATATCCCGTGCTTGAGTACAAATAGAGAGATAGTTAAAAGACTCTGCAAAGAAGATAATATAAATGGAGCTTCTTTTGAAAAAATAGAAAATTGTTTAACATCTCCTTCATCCAATTACACGGAGAAATTAAATGATCTACTGAACTCGAACATTTCTATAACCGATATCGTCTCTAAATTGATAACAGTCACTGAAAATGCGGAATCATTTAAACCCATCGATTTGTTCTTAGTATCTTCGATCATAGATAAATTCGTCTACGAATCTACCAATTTAAGTAGTATAACAACAGTTATAAGCAACGTAATTAACACTAGAACAGAAATTAGCGAAGAGTCTCAAAGGAATTACAATGCAACCGATCAAATTTTATACAGTTTTGATCTTATTCTTGAGAGGGAAGGTAAACCATACGAAGATCTAGAAATTAAGGAATCCAATTTGTTTGTAAAAATATTCACTGGCTTGCATGGATTCATTTTTAAGGATAACAACGAAATTATTGAAATCGAAGAGGATATGGATTTCATGAGCTTCGCGAAGATACCACAACTATCTGCAGCTATCTATATTCCGAATGTTAAGGCCAGGGCAACTGTGAGTTTGTTTTTGAAGGACACGTTGTTTAACGAAAATAAGAGGAGGAATATTGCGAATAATTTTGGAGTTATTTTGAGTGACAACATCGAACAGATTTATTTAATTTTTAAACCCGCCGATGGGCTGGGCACGTACCGACATTCTTGCGGATTTTGGAACTACGGTTTTGCTAAAAGAGGTAATTGGAAATTGGAATCTAGACCTAAATATTTGGGAGTGCTACAGATATGCGAGTATTCTCACGTGACACATTTCGGTTTATTGGTGATCGATGAAGACTTTATCGAAGACAGTGACATTCTAAGCGTAATAAGTTCTATTGAGATTGGACTGTCTTTGTTCGGGATTCTGGGAATCTTTTTGACCGGTGCAGTGTTTAAGACTTGGAGGGAGAATATAGGTAATAAGATATTGATTCATTATGGAATTGTTTCTTTGGTACAGATTGTGTTACTGTACGTGTCTGAAAAAGTGTTGGGAGCAGAAAGTTGGATTTGTATATTAACTGGAGTTTTATTGCACTACACAGTTTTGTCGCAGTTTTGCTGGATGTTGGTTATAGGTTTACTTCAGTACAAACGATACATTCAAGTGTTTGTCGGAAACTCTCGGTGGGTTCTAATCAAGGCTTGTTTCGTGAGCTACGGAATTCCAGCGTTCCCCGTGATGATTCTATTTGGATTCTTCTCTGATACTTACGTTGATGGGAGAGTTGGTCTTTGCTACCCAACGGGCAACGGCTTAATTTATGGTGTTCTTTTACCCATAGGTATCATAGTCACCGTTAACATTTTAATCTTTTCAAGGATCATCTTTGAGCTTTTCTGCAAACCGAAGATAAATTCCAGCGTGGAAGACGAAGTTTTGATACTACGATTGAGGCTCGTTCTGCTGATGTTCTTCATGCTGGGAATCACGTGGGTCTTCGGTTTTGCGGCGCAAATCTTTGAGAGCGATTTCCTAATTTACCTCTTCTTAATAACATCATCGATTCAAGGATTCATGATTTTCGTCTTCTTCATCGTATTTAACAAGAATGCGCGCAAGATGTACGTCTATCTGTGGAATAAATATTCTTGCAGATGAGTCGATGGGAATTGTGAGCGGCGTCCTAGACCCAGATTCGATATCCACTTTCTACTTCATTTAAAAAAAAAAACATAGAGAGAGAGAAGAAAAAATTGAAGGAAAGACACGAATGTGCTGATATTACGAATAATTCTTTGAAGATAAATAATAAAATGCAACATTTCGAGAACGGAAACCAAAAGTGTTCATGCCACGGTCTCGTCGTCTTCAAAGAAATTTCTAATTTGGTGCGTGCTTTAATTAATCAATGGCGAATTGTCTTTTCGGTACGCGAAATTCCGCTTTCCATATAACAATTAAATACATCAACATACAATTTCGGTAACAGACAGTTTTATAACCAAATTAACTTCTTTTTTTTTTTAATTTTTTATTCCACTGCGTAACAATGGGATGTTGTTAACCGCGTTATGTGTTTGTACGAAGCTAAACAGTTTTGGATCACCAAGGTTCTTCGATTTTTCCCTAACACGCACAAGCCGTCACTTTCCAAAGAAACGAAAAAAAAAAACAATTTAATTGTTTTATTCGCCAGGAAAAACAGCACCGAGACAAGTAGAAATTGTCCGATATTTTCAAATTTATAAACATAATTACGAAAAGAACATAACGTATTTAGTGTATTATATTTCTAATTGTAATAAGATTTTATGAAAATAAAAAAAAAAACGAATGCTTGTATTTCAATTAATTTTTGTAATTATGATCTGTCAAATAGTGACTTTCGTTTTTTCGATTACTATTCATAAGATTTGTGAGCAGTTTTGTTTTCTCTCATATCTTTTGTTCCTTAGTTTAAAATGAACTTCCTACATTCCAACAGAATAATTACACAGTCGATTGGGGAAGTGTCTTTTTTATTAAATGAAAATGCAAATCTAATTAGATCGAAATGCCCGTAGGAAGTATTTAGGACATGAGTAAATAACTATAAGAAAACAAAAAGTTATTTAATTTATTCCCTAGTGTTTACTTTTAATTTTCAACAATTTTAATTGATAGGAGAAAGTTTGAGTATGAGCTCAGGTATTCTTCACTCCGCACTAGGTGGAAGATTAAACAAGAACTGGACATCTAATTAACTTAGCACGTTTCAAAAAAAAAGGGATCCGACGTTTTTTTCTTCAACATATATTTATATGTTTCATAACTCCAATATTCTTTTCTATTTTAAATATATATTATATAGTAAATTGGAAAGAGATATTAATTTAGTTTTATTACATGAAATAAGTACGTGTCATCGTTTGTTATTAACGAATGCAAGTGAAATTTAATTTAGAAAAGTTGCTCCCAATTTGGTGACGGTTCGTGCGCGCTTTTTGTTTTATTATTATTTGCAAACACTTTCCATTTCTCACTGCCTTTTGAACACGTTTAATTACGTAAGGTAGGACACGTGCTTACGCTCTGCTATTATTATCGTAATCTATTTATTTTTCGCAAATTATATTTAAATAAATAGGAAGTACAATAATTATTCTTCAAATGAATACACGTATTTAGTAGACTTTCATTTCAATCAAGTTTCTTTTCCACATAGCCATAAAATAATTTCCTCGTGCTTTTTTTTCTTGTTTGTTCAAAAACATATAACGAAAATATTTCAAGAATTCCTGTGAGAAAGCATTTGTTTACAAACATGTCTTAATCCTTGTAAAACCTTATTTTCTTCTACGAAACTAATTAAAAAAATGTATCATTTTGTAATCAAATATGTACATTATTTACTTATAATTAGGATATTACTATAAAAATATATATTTAAAGTAAATTTAAAGCAAAAATTACAGAATAATTCATAATTCCAAAAAACGCAGAGTTTCAATAAAGGTAGATATTCAATTATTAACAAATTTGAAATTATGAATATCGACACATGTGTATAAACAAAAGCGCCGTTAAATCTGAATCTTGACCTTAAAATATACACCAAAAACAAATCGTTACGTGGGTTCTGTTGTGTGATCATTACGTGATTTCCGATGAAAATCGAGATTTCGGTTTCTAGGTTGTGTTTACTACCGGTATTATGCGTATTCTTATAAAACTAAATAAACGGTTCATTTACACAGGAAGTACACATAAGATTTAGTAACTGACTTAAATGGAAACAATATTTTGTAACACTGGAATTTAAATCATTGGCAATCAATAATTTTAAAGTTCTAAAAAAAGGTTAGAATCATTAATTTAATTAATAAATACAACTATTAAACATTAATTAAATATTGTAGTATATATTTGCTTTTACAAAAGAAGATTTCACTTTCTCATGGAATTTTCTGCCGTTGGTCGAAATTCTCACAATAAATTCTTTTTATACGAAATTGGCTTCCGAAAAATCGGTATCATATTTTAGGTGTTGTTATTATTACACACATTCACTACACCAACGAATGATACAGATCATCGGGCGTTTCTTCTTCCGTTCGAAAGGTTAATATTTGCATACGATACTTAATCAAGCAATATCTAAACTCTGTGTGATTTTTTCTTATTATGTTAGTTTCCGGTAGTTATTTATTAGTTCCCAATGTTATAAAAATATGCGTTTGTCAGAGAGAACATGTTCACATGCATAAATTGAGCAATAACAGTTTCAACTTTAGCTGAATCATTTTTTATTTATCGCGAATTGTCAAATAACAAGAAACTCTATTATTTGACACAGTTTTGAAGAAGTTTGAAAATCATCTAGATATCAGTAAAGAAGTAATTCGTATAAGTATAGTTGAAGATTTTCTAGGAAGTTGTTAGTTGGAATGTCTCAAATTTTGGTGACGCATCATTTAGTGGTGTTTCCATTTATGTAATTTAGAAGAATTCCTATGTAGTCGGTGACTTATCGTCATTTACATAAGTTCATCGTCCAGTTTTTTTATTTGATAACTTTACCACATTATCGTCATTATTCAAAGTTACTGTTTACTCAGAACGATTTTCTTTATTTAGTGTAAAATAAAACTTTTTTCGGTAGAAAGACTTAGGTCGATAGCCCTTTGGTTACAATTGGTGACTAATAAAGATTTATTTTTTATTTTTTTAAAACTCTTTTTTTTGTATACAAACAATAAACTTTAACCCATTTTATTCGATGAAGCTTTGTCATCTTTCTGACTACTTCATGTTTCTGAGCTCATAAAACTGCTGGTCTCTTTCAGCAAAACTGAACTGAACCAAATGCGATATCACGTCATCATACTTAGTGAAAGTTTTACCATTCAAAGAGTTTTGCAAACTTCGAAATAAATGGTAATCTCATGGTATAAGGTCTGAGTTATACTTATACGGGATGCAATATCACTTACCAACAATTTTTCACGAGTTACCAAAGATGAACGATCTAAATTGATCGTTTGGTTCCTAGGATGGAAAATAACTCCACCAAATTGATAGTATGATCTCGGATCATTATCATTTTTGATTGATGTTATTGTCGATGATGAATTTTTCTTGACAATTGACGATTTCATTGCGTTTGAGATGCATATTATAAATATTGACTCATTCTTTTAAGTCAATCTTTTTCAAGTCATGCGAACGTCGAGATTCATAACGAGTCCAAAACAATTAAGTGGTTTTCAGTTATTGTGTGTGATGCTTTAAATTCTCTGCAAACTCTTGCACAGTTATATGAAGATCCGATTCAATTATGACAAACACTATATTACTTCGAATTGTGAAATAGTCGCAGTTTAATTTCTTGTTAAACTTTATTACTCTATGCATTTTAAGTGAATGCTTTTTTTTATTGCATAAGCTGTGTATCTTCTTGTGTGTTGACGTCATTCGACATTTGCAGGTGATTGTTAAATTTATTTTAGATACGAATTATAACATTAACTTGAATAGACGTTATTTAAGTGAATGTTTTAATGATGTTGTACAATAATTATTTATGAATCGATACCACACTGAAGCCTGAAAGTTTGCTTATTTTTTCATAAATTATCTAAATGGTTGAAGTGATTTATGGAAGATTAATTTCTATGGTTTGTGGATAGCTTTTGAATTGAATTTGAAGATGGTCCGTTTGCTTTTAAATAAATCTTCAACTTTTCAAATAAATTTTATGTAGTTTTAAGTTTGCAAAACTTTTTGAATGGTAAAATATAATTTCTTAAAATGCAAGAGATTCAATTTCAATTCAATTAAAATATTTCTTTTTTACATGTTGTGGAGACCGGTATGGGCTTTCAGCCTTCAGAAATTACAGTTTTTACAGAAAATTACGAACAATGATAATAATATATATGGATAATGCACATGGGGAATGTTGAGAATAGGTAGAATTAAACATATAATACAAGAAATGAATGACTTAAGATGACAAATGCAATATGAAGCGTATAATGCAAAAGAAATAAAAATAAATTACGCAAAATTTAATTATTTATCAAATTTTATACCGAAAATGAAGCTGATTAATGCGTTTTGTAAAATTCATGGTCATAAATTTCGAAATTTGATGACTATTATGGATTCTGAATCAACAAATTTATTGATATTCCCATATGTTACTCAAAAATCGTTTACAAGATTTCCCAATGGCGAATAACAGATTAGTCGTTCGAAGATTATCTGTGTGTGTGCACAAGGAATGGGAATGAATCTTCCATACTAAAGATGGTAACATTTCAAAATCGAATTGATCGGACGACGCGAAATATTTAGAGTGAGCGTCTCCAAGAAAGAAGGCCGTCCATTAAGTACGTTGTTGCATAAAAGTGAGCTTCAGAGAAATTGCACAATATTTCTTCTTTTTTTTTAGAACGTCTGCCGTTTGTTCGTTCGTCCGGACTCGAGCCATAAAAGAAATGAGCTCCATGAGAAATTGGCAATTACACGCACACTCGTTACGCAATTTCGTTGCCTCTTTATTGTTGATCCTCTCTAGTTCCATGTTTACGTAATGGGATCAATTAGAAGTGGAGTGAAATTTCGGACCGGGCGACAACCGAAAACGCATGAACTTTCAAATTTATCAACGAAACATATACGGAAGAAGAAGAAGAAAGAAAAAACCAACAAAAAAACTCATTTCACTTAGAAAATTCCGAAAGAATGAATGAAAAAAATTATGATCACAATACATTCTCTGAAAGTTCGATTGCCTTCTTCGATACCAAAAGAATATAACATGTGTGTATATACATATACATGGAACGAGTTCTTTTCTCGAAAGTTCACTTTGAAATCCCACACGTTGAGATAATTAGTAATTTACTTAATAATTAATTTATTCAAAGTGAAGAAAAAAAAAATATATATATATTCGTATAGAAGAGCGCCAGTGATGTAACAATGCACCAACCAATTCATTATCCAGTTCACCTCTCCATCTCCCTCTTTTAATACATTTATATCCTTGGGCAAATCTATAACTAATTGTAAAAGCAACTTAAAACTCTGTTTCTACTGCGGTACAAAAAATTTATATATGAAAGGTAAACAGATTCAAATTGGGAAACTTTCAAATTAAGCTTTCGTCAATTCAGAAAGAATATCTAATTGTATGTAAATTTTTTGAACTCCCATTTGACATACTAGATGTTTCTATAAATAATTAATAATTTGATTATGACATTGGCATATATTATTAAGTTTTTATTGCATTTTAGATGTTTTAGTGAATATATTGCAATATCAAAATGAAATGCATTCATTGAAATTGAATCCTGAATGCATTATTCATTCATATATAAATAAATTATTTCCTTTAATTTATTCGAACCGTTTATTATTCATATGGTTTTCGCAATAAAATATCGTAACTTTTCATATGAATTTTTTTTCTATATTTTGTAGTTCAATTGTTTTAAATGCAGTAATTTAGAAATTACTAAATTAGCATTTATGGGTAATGTGAATACGCGAAGTAATTAATAAAAGTATCATTAATTATAGCCACTTGAATCTGCAAAAGTTGCTTGATTGATCCTCAATTATGAGTCAAAATTTTAAGAAATAATTAAAAATCCAAATTAAGACTATCGTATTTTGAATATTTGTATGTTTTTTATAATTATGAAACTAAATCAAAGAAATAATTCCAAATAGTCAAATTACAAATACGTAAACTTGAACATAAATTTGGAATTGTCATTTGCAAATTATTGGAACTCTCATCCATGTTGTATTTATTCGTCTTCTTTATTATTCTTTTTTTTTTGCTGAAAATGAAGATTCGCAATGAGGTGCATATACAGACGTGTTACTTAATTGGTATGCTGGTGACATATCGACAAGAATCTCTTATAGACCAGGATGGACCACTGACCTCAATCCTTTTATACTCGCCATTCCAATATTAGCAACCTCTTCTACTCTGCTTCCTCCTCTTTTTGGTCTTCTTCTTTTGCTTCTTCATGTTCATTGCACAGCTCAAAAACGCGCCGAAGAAAGTTTCAACAGTTTATTCTTTTTTCACATTGCGAGCAATATTTATCGAAATCAAACAAATTCAGTAATTTTTCCATCAAACAGTGAGAGAACTTTCTAAGTTTGGCATTTTCAGATCGAATTTATTTAATGATTTCTGGACGCGGAAATCTGTTTGCATATTTCCACTGCAATTTTCGTGGTGCGAAAACCTAAAAATGTGCGTGTACACTTTCGCTGTGCCGGCGGAATGGGTGGGCCCCCTACATATTTCAATAACCTGAATGAATGCATGCACCTGCATCGACTCTCGGCAGGTAACAGGAGACAAGAAGGCAATTTCCAATTTAGAAAGATTATATTTTTTTTTTAAAGAAGGTGTCTGCCTTCAATAAAGGGATCCAGATATGATCTATCCTCCCAAAATTACACACAATATTTCACCGATATCTACCTATAAATCTTCTAATCTTTTGTTTGCGGTTATTGTGGCTATTTTCTTTCTTTTTTTTTCATTGAATCTTTTAGACGTTACAAATACTATTTAATTCAAACGATACAACGACTCCTTGAAAAGATATTATGACCTTAATTTGACAAAAATGAAAACGTCGATTTCTTTGACTAACCTGCAATTCTATCCATTCAAAAATTTTATAATAAATGTATCTAGACCTCATTTTATTTCTTAAATAGCATATGTGTACGACTTTATTAACCCATTTCTTAAGTATTACAGACCAATAACAGAATTGATAACTTTAATGTTAATAAAGTATTATTTCATGAACTTCATTCTTTATTCTTATACATCGCTATATGTTTTTTTTTATAATTTCCTTAAGATTACAATATATTTTCTGAAATAACATTTTACTATATGTATAAAATGATATAATTTTCCCTATAATGTAGCATATACGATAGTTAGTTAATGATGCTGAAATATCAATAGTCTCAGCATTATATTTGTTTCAGTCTTACACATTACATTACCTAAATACAATAAATACCTAAATTATGACTATATTGATTTAAAACTTTAAAACATTAATAACTAATTTAGAAAATTATGTGATTTTATATAAACATTTTGGTTAAAATAATGAATTATGTTACTTGATTGTTAGATGACATGCATTAAGGAAATTTCCACGAAACTCTCTGCCTTTCTTTCCAGAAATTTGGAGGGTAATTTGGGAATCGCGTAATTAAAACATACGTAATTGCAGTCAGGAACAATAGAGTGGTGTTATGAAACACGAATAACAAAGAAAGGTATACGAAGAGAGGATGAATAAAAAAAAATAGATGAATTCCGAAGAAGGCGCGCACGGACATTGTGCCTGGTCGCGGTATAAAACCGGTGGAAGGACGGGTCCGTTTTTTACAAGTGCCACAATACCTGAGCAGTGCACACTTACTTCTTACTCTCAAGGGGGCAACTTTCTCAAGAGAAGAACATCACTAGAAGCAGCCCCCTTCTTCTCACCACCACTCACCGAAGAAGAAGAAGTAGTAGTAGTGGTGCTGATATCTCTGCCACTTCTTCAGTCAACATCTCACAGTGTTACTGTGCCTCCTCATCAATAGTGAGAATAGAAAGCGCGAGATGAACAACTACTGATGTGCATTTAAGAAAGAATCTTTTCTCTCTACTTATTTATATATTTTTTTTTCAATCAACAAATTGAGACAGTAAAAAGCAATTAGAGTGTGACATTTAGTGATCGAGTGTTAAAAGGATCTGAAAAAATGTGGATTAAGTTCATAGTAAGTAGAAATTATCTTATTAAACAAACAATAAGTTATTGTTATTAATTGAAGAGGCGCTCTTTCTTTCTCCTCTTTGCCATTTTTAATTGCATTGAAATCGAGGAATAGAAAATTATTAGCATTTACGCGAATTCTATTAAGAAATTTACTCTCTTTTAACGTCTATATTTTTTTTTACATTAGCGACACACTAACCGGTAATTTGCATACGCCACAAGTAAAAGATAAAATAGAAAGTTATTTTTCTCTGTCTTTCACCTTTTTTTTATTTATGTATTCTCAATTCCGTCTTTATTACACTTGAAATCTCCATAATCCAAAAACAGATATTTCGTTCAAAGAAAAAAAAAATTATAAGAAGAGACAGCTTTTGCTTTCTATATGACTAATAAATTAGATACATTTTTTTTATACAAAAATGGGGTAAATAAATTTAAATGAACGAAAATTATATATTTGCATAATGTTATAATTAAATTATATCAATAAGATAATAATTTCTTTAAGTATTTCGGGATTATAATAAGGTTATAATAAATTATAGTAAATTATATAATTTGAATATTTATGATATATAAATATAATTTTGATATATTTGTGTTTAATATCAAATAAAATAATTATAAAAATAATCTGTAAAATTCGAAACTATGGATAAAAAAAAACTAATTTAAATAATTTAAATTATTATGAATGTCTCTAATGCAGTTAATTAATAATTTAGTTATTGTGACACTTTAAATAATTTAAAAACAAAATATATTTTCTTAATAGTTAAAACAACGTTAGAAGTATTTCGGAATATGTTATTGTGTTTCTACCAAATAACGAGTTTAATCCGTTCCAAAATTTCCGGATTTTTACTCGTATATTCAAAAATACACATAATATGTGTATATGTGTGTACACAAGTTTTAAAAATGATGTAGCAAGCACGCAATCCGGGACTAATCTTCTCATCGTCACTCGTTATGCGAAACGTCGCTCGTCAAGCAAGCCATTTTTCGAATAACTCATTTTGCTCTTTAAGTGAGGTTCCAGTGTATCTTAGATGAAAATATATGTTTCTTTGAATTGACTAAGGATTTAGGAGCTTATAGATTCACAAAATATTGAAAGAACTTGCAATCTATGAGTAATGTTTGAAAAAAACTTTCTAATACATATCTTACTAAGTAATATAATCTTCCTTGTGAATGTTTTTATTTCATTAGAGAAGTATTTTTCATTCAATGGAAAAATAGACTTCCTAGTTTTCCTTAAAAAGAATAAGTGCTTTTCAATGAGTAATACGAATAAGTGAAATACAAATTCTAAAACCAAAACACGAATACTAGAAATATTGAGCTGATATTAATTTGCATTGTGAAACAATAATGGTTCAATTGATTTCATAATTGAATGTCTAAAACATGTTCGAACTCGTTAACCGGTGCAATAAAATATAACAAACTTTTACATTTCGCAACATATTATTTGAATCTACATAATAAAATTATGATTATGCAATAACAAGCACGTTCCATTTGATTAAACTATCCATTGGAATTTCTCATATGGAGAATGAGTCGTTTTTAGGAACACCGCGCTTTCAAGCATTAAAATTGATTTCCATTTTTTTAAGTTGAATTAAGATTATCTCCATTAATTAGAGGAGATGCGTTTCTAAGAGATTGTTATCTTCCCTTTTGATCGTTTGGAAGGTGGCTGCATTGAAATGCGCGCCTCGATAGATTCGAATCGGGTAGGTGAGAGGCGTGTGTAGTAATTTCACCTCTGAAATTTCACGGCTCGCCGCGTTCGGTAACTGAAAAAATAGTCTCCGAGGCGATTACGCAAGCGATGTGCATCGATCGGTTTCAGGATAGGGAAAAAAAGTATCTATACATGTGAACCCGCGGCTTTTGGAGGGAATAGTAAGAGGCGAGCGCACTCTTCACTTTCATTTCCTTATTCACTAAAACCATCTTCGTGCACTTGTCTTGCTTGTTATTGTGCAATGCAGACATGTTACGTACGTTTGCCTCTTTAATTGCAACCGAAAATTTTAGCGAAGAGAAATTTCCTCTCTTCTTTGTTTTTTTTTGGTTCTTCATCAAATATTTGGTTTGGTGAAAATTCCCACATTACTCCCTTTCTTTTCGCTGTTGTTTGTTTGCTTGTAAATTACTTTCACTAAATAATTTTAGGAAGATGAAATGGCTTACGTAACTCGCTCGCAAGTTTACAAGTTTCAGTTCCTTAATTGGACGGGGAGGAGGAGACTCCGACAACAATTCACTTTCTAAACGAATTTGTTCGACAGTTCATACAAAAAAAAAGTATAAACTAAATAAAAGGAGAACTGCAGGGGATTTACGTAACGAGACGGTTAATGGGGTGCCATCAATCAAAGGGAAATATCAAAGTAAATACGATTTCTCTACTCTCAAACTAACAGGCTTTGTTAGTTAGAAGAGTAAATATTCAAATAGTCTTTTTAATATTATAATTAATGGATTTGAAATTCTCTCCGGCTGAGTGTTGAAAATTGAAGAAAACAATGTAATTGCCTCCGTTGCCAGGCATTTAGAAGCGTCGAAAATCCGTAATTACAGGTTTGAGACTCTTGTCGAAATTAAACTCACATTCGTTGCTTGAAACAAAAAGGCTTTTAATGTTTAAGATTATAATCTCTTTTGTTTCCATAAATATTCTTTATCTACTTTTTACATTTTTGTATCAAAACGATATAAGCAATTACAAATTGATAGGATCTTTTGATTTTTTTTTGTTTGATACATAGTTATGGAAATTATTATTACGCCAAATCGGGAAGAGAATTTTTCATTGTGAAATTTGTGAAAGGCAAGCAAGAAGTTCTTTTTCCTATTAACCTTTAACGATTGTTGTGAAATTACATAAATCCTATGCATATATAGAAGAAGCTAGATTATGTGAGTAAAGTGTAATCGAATGTAGAAGCACATACAAAAAAATGTTTACCTGTTGATTTATGTGGGTCATATCAAAAACGAAATACCTGTGTCCAAGGTCAACGTAATCGGCTTTTATTTGTCGAAATGCCCGAAGTAAATCATTGCAGGGGCAGAGATATCATAGAAAATCATTTTATGCTTTTTCATTTCTTCTGTTCCTCTTCTTCTTCTTCTTCTTCTTCTTTTTCCAATCGTCTTTAGATGGGTGCAAAGGAATGTATGTCTGGACAAGTCAAAGTTAACTCTCATTAAATTCTTTTTAACGAGCCTCGTCGACGAGAGATTGAGCTCTAGCTGAAGCACTCTAATAGCAGACACGACATCGGAATCCGCTTTTGGAAAGCATTACTCCGGGAATCGGAATTAGTCATTCAAGGCGGGGAGCGAGCCCCGATTTATCTATATATGTGTGTTTTCAAATCGATTGTTTCGGATTTCTCGGTGAAATGAAAGCCGCATACAAATATTGTGAATAAAATTTATATTTTCTGACCCAGATTTTTCTTTCTTTCTTTATTGCAGGCAGTCTTTTCGCTTTTATTGGCCGCGATTCTTGCGGCCGAAGATGGGTCCAATAAGAAGAAGCAAGAGGTCAGGGGAAAGCGGAATTTGGAATACAGCATCACGCACCCCTATCCGAAGAATAACCACAATAACAACTTCAGACTCGAGAGGAGGATCTCCAATATACCGCCGCAAAGATATCCGACGTTCTTCCCGGGAAACAGACCTTACAGTTTCTACAGAAAGAACAAGCCTTATGCACTTCCACCTTACGCCGTGCAAATGGAACCTTTAGTCCATTATTCCCAGAGAGATCCTTTGTATGATCCAAGCCACCTGCATCCCTTGCCACAACCGCACAACGAGCTTACCAAGCACGATGACCTGGTAGGTGATAACAACCATGTGAACCCGCATGTCTATGGTCTCAAGCATATTGTCGAGAGGCCCGTTTATATCAAGGAACCCGAGCCAATCATTGAAATCATCATTAAGGAAGCGAACACCACTGCATCGCCTGTCCAGGCTATAACACCACCACTTAAAAAGAAGAAAGAGGAAGTCCAAGTGTTCTACGTGAAATACAAGAAAAATCCGCATGGAAGTGGAAAGGACAGTGTAATCTACGAAAAACCGGTTGCGGCAATTTCACCAATTCAAGAGGAACCCGTACAAGAGGAGCCTCCGCAGTATGAGCCTCCGGTAACATACGCTCCACCATTAACAACCACCATCAGAGCAATTATAAAACCAGATTCTGAAACTTTCCATGCCGATACAGGAATACATGTAACTTTCGGTGGATCCAAACATTCACATCACCAGGAAAAATATCCTCACGACGACGATATTGTCGAATCTGCTCCACAACCTGCTATTTCTCTCCCGCAGGGTAGGAGATTCCCCGATAGTCATCAATCTGCATTCCAAGAGTACAGAAGCGAACAGCGCTTACCACAACCTTACGTGCCTTTCAACTTTAACCAACCTAAATTCACAAGTCCGTCCAACTTCCAAAATCACCAATCTTCGTTCCAAAATCATCAACCAGCGCCAACTGTACACCATCAACCGGCGGCACCCGGCTACGTCAATCACCAAGCTCAATCGAGTTTCACAAATCAGCAATCAACTTTCCCATCACACCCAGCTCCTCCGCAATACAATCAACAGCGTCAACATCAATCGTTCCAATTACCTCGCACACAAACTCATTTCCCCGTTAATCCACAACTGCCGTTGAATCAAAGCCCACAAAACTTCAATCAAAATAAATTCAATTCATTCCCCCCGCAACAACAAAAGCAGTTCAGCACAAGGCCTCAGTTCCCACAACAAAGTCAAATTCAACAACAACCCAAGCAAATTAACTATCAACAACAACAACAACCGCAGCCTCAAAAACCATTCGTTCAACAACAACAACAACAGCAGCAACAACCAAAACCAGTTGTTCAACAGTCACAATACCAACAGAGTCAAAGACCGCAAGCTCAAGCTCTGGTTTCTCAACAGAATCAGTTCCAACGGTATAATTTTAATCAGCAGAACCAACAACAGCAAAGTCAACATTTGGTTCAGCAAAATCAACAATTCGTTCAGCATAATCAACAGAACCAGCATTTGGTGCAACAAAATCAACATTTGAATAATCAAAACCAACACATTAACAAACAGAACGTTCATATACAAAATCAGCATGCGCAAAATCAGAATCAACAAAATCAGCATGCACAGAATATTCCGAATTTCCCTCCAGGCGGTGAACTGATCCAAGCACTTCCAAAATACGAACAGCATATATCCATTCCACCAGCAAATCAACCAAATCATCTGACACCAGAGCAATACTCGCAACAGATCAAGCAACAATTCACCAATATTCCTCAATCACCTCAAATTAACATCCAGCATCAGAATTTTGCTTCATCCTACCAACAAATCTCGACGAACCAACCTATTTCTAATCCACAACAATCAGTTTACACGACAACTCAAAGACCTACAACATACCAAACAACTAAAAATTATTATTACTCGACCTCGACCGCACCAACAACGACCACGACTACTACAACTGCAAAACCTGAATCAACAACTATCGATTTGAAATCACTGAACATCCAATTGCCTGATGAAGTTCCTGATGATCTTCGTGAACAATTGCTCTCTTCTGGAATTTTAAAGAACGCTCATATATCTGTTTTGGATTATGACAAGGTCGGCGATATCCCAATTTCCGCGTTACCACCAGATCAGTTGGCCAACTTTTACAATGCCGGCGGTGAAAAACAGCTGGCTGGAAGTGAACCAAAACCTGTAATCGTTAAGCCTGATGGTGAACCTGTGGAAGATGACCAAGAACCGGAAGCGTCTGAAACTGAAGAGGTGAAAGCGAAAGCACCGGTCGAGATGAAAGTGGTGCACTATGACCCGCAAACCGAACAAGGTCAAAAAATTCACGACTCTTACGTAAAAGAAGGATCCACGCAATTGGAGCCGGTCGTGCTCAACGACCAGACATACAATCGTTATCTTCCGCTCAAAGTGAGTGGCGCCCAATTTCCCATTCCCGACGTTCCAGAGTTGAAAGGCAAAAATATAAACAGTGTCGTTGTATTAGCTCCGATCGATTACGAATTCGCCAAAAGCAAACGGGACGTAAGTCAGGTAAATGATGAGATTAAGTTTGTGAGAAATCAAGCTTTAAAGGATTTGCTGAAAAATCCAACTGCCGACAACTACAAGACTTTCCTGGAGAAAGAAAACAAGACCACCAGCGACAAGCAAGCCGTCATCCTATTAGTCACCGGGTAATAATTATTTTTCTTTTATGATTTTCTTCAGATTTTTTTCTAATTAATTAAATTTTAGATCGGATGCTAAAGATAGAGAGATCTTCATGTTTGACGTGGGAACTCAGACGGTTAGCAAATTGGACGGAGAGTTGTCCTCGGCGTTTGTGGACGCCGCAGAATCAAATACCGATGAAAAAAAAGAAGAGGAGGCTGCTTCAAATCGTGTCGAAACAAAAGTCCCGGTACCAGAAGGAATCGACAGAAGAGATTACGGTGATGACGTCGAATTAGACGAGGCGGCTTCCGAGCTCATAGAAAGCAAAGTTCCCATCATCGATCCGATGCAGACCGATCTTGAGGCGGAGGGCAGTGAACAATTGGAGAGCTTCGTCGACATTTCCGGCATGCAAGTCAGTGAAGATTTAACGCCCTCAGCAAGCAGCTACGTTGCTATCAGTTCCGGCTACAGTAAGACTGAGTATCAAATGCCATCGTCGCATTAAAAACAAAATTGAAAGCAGAACTTTAAAATGTCGAAGGTTAGGTCACTTATTGAGTGAAAGTCTCTTTCTCTCCGCGCATTCTTCTATTTCCCCTACATTTTTTTTTGTACATACATACATACAATCATACATGCAGATGACATCAATTTTTATCGACTTTATACAATAAATATCATGCGGCGAATTTGAAATCTACTCTTTTCTCTTTCTACATGGGTACTTGAAATAGGATTTATTTTACAATTATGATTTTTACACTTATATATTTTACTTTACGCTTCCCTGTGGGTTTGCTTCTTTTTCTTTATTCTAGACATAACGTGTGTAGGTTTCAAAATTTGCCATTCGCTCAAACCACGAGTAGAATTTTATTATTTTTATCATTTATTATTTAATTGAATTGGATTCGACACGATTGCAAATCTTCATTCTCTAAAAAAATATTTTATATTTTATTATGTACAGTGTATCATAGATTTTTAGTGTATATTTTTGTATTTTTATTTTTATTAAAAATATAATTGCGTATTTATATTATTTGTTTCATTTATAACCAATAAATTGTAATTAGCGAAAGTAACAAATTTAATAACTTGTTCATTTTGAATATGACCTTGCATGTTTTATTAAACAATCATGTTTATGTATGAATTAAACTTATAAATATGAAAATTAAATGCTAAACATATTAAAATGTTTTTATTACAACCAATGAAAACAAGTAATAATAATTAATTTCACTCCTTATATAAATGATAATATTTTTTTGATAAAGATAATTTTTATTGCAATATAAAATTCAAATAAATACATATAAATAATTCTGATTATTAACAACAATTTATAAAAGTGTTTTTTATATCAATAATTAAGTTGTATATTTTTGAAAACTACTTTTTACTTACTTTGTTATGGGTTTTACCTACTTTACATTTTGCACAATTTTGATAGAATACAAATTTAAATGTTTTTTTTTTCTTTTTATGTTTTTTGTCTACTATAATTATATAACGCACTATGATATTGGACTTTTATTAATTACACCTTTAGAGTTTAAACCTACTTTAATTAAACATTGAATTACAATAACAAATTGAAGCTAAATTTTAAGTTTTCTTAAATTAATAAACTAGCTGTGAATTATTTACAAGATTATAATTTAATATTATAATTTAGAACAAGTGAAATTAAGCGATTTTAAATATTATGTACAAATATCTGCACAGCAAATAGCGACTGTGATCGTAAATCAGGAGGATGTAAGTATTAAATATATTTGCAATTTGTACGTAAATTTGTTGAGACAGATTTGGATGCTATTGCAACTTTTTGGAAGTGTAACTTTTGAAGTAAAAATTGAGAAAGAAGCCGAAAAGAATGGCCAGGTTTGGAAGAAAGATGTAAGCTAGGAGTTTTGGCATGTTACAATCTGGATGTAGAGCTTGGACAGAATGCAATAGTAGGACCCAAAATTGGACCATCTGCATCATCGTGATTTTCGGCTTCACCCATGATATTTTCTTCTGGATTCTAGGCCCAGACGCCGCGAGAAAGTAGTAAGAGTACATAATCACGTGTATGGTCGAGTTAATAATTATTGCGAACGTTGCCATTCCTCCTATATACACAAATAAAAAAAAGAATGTAATATAAGTAGAAGATTTGCTTTCAACAATTAGTTTCGTTTTTAATATTACCTCCCATATATTTGCAGGTGAGCCAAGCGAACATCAAAGTTGAACAGTGGTGGTAGACGTGTAATTTAGACACCTGGTTCATTTTGTTGCGAAGGATGAAGAAGCAAGTTTCCAGAAGCTCGGCGATCTTCAGTATTAACGTCCAATAGACATAATTGAGCATTTTTAGAGCTGATTTGTCGTCCGAGTAATCAACCGTTTGGCATTTGACTGTGTATTTTCCGAACCATCCATGAACACCCAACTGAGAATAAAAACGCAAATGTTATATTGTTGCTACCAAAAATGATAGGATATGCTTACGCCATGTACAATGTACAAGCAGGAAATGACTTGAAGAACATTGTAGATTTGGATTATGTTTTTTAAGTTGTACGGCTTCCGGCCTTTCATATGCTTTGGCAAATAGACGTAGACCCCGTATAAATAGATGGAAATTATTAGCAAGATTTTGGTTGGATCCTGCATTAACGGCCATGACGACACTCTGTCATCTAAAAATTTAAAAATAAGTACAAATTTAGTCATTAATTTTGTTTTTAAAATTGCAAACAAATGATAAACAGTAATTAATGTATAAACACGCTTCGCGATAGCTGTTAATGATTCGCTTGGCATATGCAATTATATAGTATTTTAGCAAAATAATTATTTTTCAAACAATACATTTCTCACAAAGGGAAACACGAAATAATGACGTATTTATATTAACCTAATAAAAATTAAACCATTTATTTATAGACTAAATGCACACACTAAAATGCTAACGTGCTGGATGGCCAACGACCACCATCACTTTTTGGATTGAATAAAAAAAGCTCTATATTGGAAATAACGATTTAATAGAACATTCTCACCGACTTCATGACGATGCAATGAAATTGGATTTTCATTTTAGCTTGCGTGCGAAAAATCAACTGACCTGCGAGTTTCACGAATAGGTGGTTGTAGTACGTATCCATGTCGTAGTGGATCGAAAAGGACTGAACGCGTCCTGCAGTTCAACACCGACGTTTATATACACGAAACAAAATGTACACATTTACAATTAACTATCGTCAGAATACGCGATTAACATATATCGAAAATATAAATTTACATACAGCTTTATTTTTTTGTTTTATGTATGAAACTTAATATTGAATCACATGCGTTTTATGATTGTTAAGAAAATTTTGTTGAGCGCGCTTATTCTACTTTACAAACTGAACGCTTCTTCTCGGGGAATGTATCTTCTTATATACGGAGTGTCCTACTTTACTACACAAAAATATTATCTTATTAATTAAGTTATTTGCTTCCAATAACTTTTATATTTCAATATTTTAGATACGTTTTTTTGCATTTAATTTTACTATATCCTGATGAATTGCATAACATTTATTGTTTGAACACAAAATAATAATGATACTAAAACGATATGCATTCGTAATCTTTCAAGCCCAATATTTAGTTGATTTAATTTTAAGAAACATAAAATATAAAAATTGAAAAATATTTTATCAAGACATTGACGCATTCCGTAAGTATATGTGTATACATTGTAGCAAATCTAACAGAACATTTTAAATGCAGATCGTTTAGTTTTTCATTTATATTTGTTTCAATTTTATTATTACCATAAAACGTTTAGAGTTAAGTAGCTCATGAGTTGTATATGAATATTGCTCCGTCATTTAAAAGAATCAAACCAAAATTATTTATATATTTTTAATTGCATTAACGCAAAAATATGTTTTATTCAGTTTTGTTTAACCTTTGATTCAACAATCTAAAGTCTAAGCTATTTAAATTTAAAATGTGTAATATTCAAATGACTGTTGAATACTATCATTCATAATTTTACAATTATGCTATTTAATACAATTATGCAATAATGAAACGATTTTGCTTGTGACAAAGCTGTTTTTTATATTACAAACTTTAATGAAGTGATTAATTTTGTTAAATAAATATTTCTATTCTAGGATTCAATTAAATTATTCTCTTCTCAGCTTCACTTAGTTTGCGCGTCTTGAACAATTTCAAATTATTAAAAATTGATATCATCTAAAGTTATGTAACCCAATTAACAATTTGATATATAATTTCTAGTTATATCAATTGACATTAATTATCCAAACGGAGATTCTTAGAACTAGTGGTGCTTTCTTGGTGGCCTACTTATTGTAATTTTTTTTTCTCTTGAACGGATCGAAAGTTGGAGCGATGATAAGAATGTGTATGTTGCATTATTCGTCTGGTTGGTGTCGCTAGTTGTGCTTGGTGAACTGTCAGAAGTATTTTAGCAAGTACTTTATTCAGGTTAGTTAATTTTTGAAACATGGCCGAGATGGAAGGGTCATTGAGCAAATGGACTAATGTGATGAAGGGCTGGCAGTACAGATGGTTCGTGCTGGACGAAAACGCCGGTCTACTCTCGTATTACACGGTGAGTGAAAGAAAACCATATTTTTTTTAGATGCACATCTTTGACAGAATATCGTGGAAAACTTAGTGTACACTGACATATCAGAGATAACCAGGTGATGCCTAACCGCTCTATTGTTATTAATGAACATCAAAAAAAAAGAACAAGTCAACGTTCGTAAGGGCAAGTGGGTGTAACTGTTCCCAAGGAAAAGTGAAGCGAATTCTCACTGCGGATGTTTTTCCCTAAAATGAAGTTATTGGTCTTGCGCATTCCTATTTACATTTAGATAATTCCGCGTACTGTTTACATTTCCACTCATATATGTTTATTTTCTTTTAATATTTATTTTTGTTTAGTTTACTCCTTTGGAAAATATACGCTCACGTATACTGGCATACTTACACTATATGCAAACGATAACTGTTATTCAAAGCAAAGCATTTAGCTTTAATTATAGTAGCGTTTTTAATAAACAATTGTCAGAAGGTTGCACAAAAGAAATAAATTGAAATAACTCATAGGGTTTTATTAAATGTATTCAGTTTAATTGTAATTGTTTCAGTTTTATTGTTATTGTTTTAGCAGAATATTTCTGGATAGAATGAAAACTATCTCAATGTACTAAATTCCTTCTTTGCAGATTTATTTGTAAGTCGAGTACCAAATTTATAGAAAATTCCATATCAAATCTACGTGATAACTTATTATCGTAATGCAAAATCGCATGAATATCTTATTAGATTTAATATTCAATTGTTATGATTATCTATACCGCTATATATACTATACGAATTATCAACCTTTCCATATTAAATGAGTATATAAAATCAATATTTATTTTATTTAAAAACATGTTACATCAAGGTTCCTATCTTTCTCAGCTGACAAAAGTTTAGAAACTTAGGATATAATTAAATTGTTTCCGAAATATTTAAAAACTTAAATAAATTGAAAAGAAGAATTACTGCAAATAAGCTAATTTGAATGATTATTTTTTTAATTGCAATTTTGATGATAAATATAAGTTTTGCAATTTTCTTATATAATCATATGAAATTAGCATTTTTCATACATATGAAATGTTCAGGTTTTCTATTTAATGACTAGATGATGTTGTGTCCAACCACTTTATTATTAATTATTGATATATATATATATATATGCTAATAAGTACTATGAGTACTGTATATCAAGTACAGTCTTATGGAAAGTTCCCACGATAAGCTTATCGGCACTTGCAACACCTGCATAGGGCAATAAAACCTTTTTGGAGAAACTCTCTGGTTTCTCATATTCTGCTAGTCTTTACGACCCATCTAGGTCACTGTCTCAAAAGGAGGATTATGTAAAAGTCGGACAACCAACTATAAAAACTACGCCACGAACAATTAACCTCCCCAAACAATTGTAATATTTATCACCCTTTAGACCTTATCGGCAGCGGGAGACATAAAAACTCCCGCCGGCGCCGACACTTTTGTTATTTTAAGGGAGTCCTAGTTAGTCCGCGACTCTTGTAGCAATTGGAAGCTAGATTAAGAATCACGAGCATCTAAGTGTTAAATAAATACTATTATTATACTGACTTTAATCTAGACCAGTGATTCCCAAAGTGGTCCATATCGACCCCCAGGGGCCTATGACAACTTGCAAGGGGTCTACGTCAGCGAAAAAAAAATTTGGGGGTCCATGAAATGAAAATGGGGGTCCACTATAGTTGATCTCAACATACACTGATAGTAGCTATTTACTTACATTATACTATCTTATAATATAAAGACCTATACATTATTTATAAAAGTACCTATGAAGTAAAAAATGTATTATATATGTTTATAAAATTATGTAAGTTGTAGGATGTAGGCATTCGCTTTGTGGTGGCAATACATTTTGAACTTGTAAAAACCTGCACATAATGATATACCAGTATCATCTTGTTACAAGCATACGCGCAGTCTCAAAACAAAAGATCTTAATAATTATAAAGATGTCCCAATATAAATAATAAATTTACAAAAAATCAATATCAAGTAAGTAAGGGGGTCTACCCAAAACCGAAAAACATGGCAAGGGGTCTACGACACAAAAAAGTTTGTGAACCTCTTCCATAAAACCCACTAAGACTCCACAACGACAATACTACAAATTATTCCACAGTGTACAGAGATATTCCATCTCGGGACACGGCAATATATTTAAAATTATTATTTTTTTCATTACTTTATCAGTTGTGAAATACTGATTTTTTTAATTTCGTAAGATTTCAAAGTACAACGAATGGTTTCAACGTACAGCGAATGGAAGACGGTCAAGTGCAATGTACACGTACTTTTTGCTTTGAAGCTGGACTCATTTTTCATGTAAGAGTGAAAAAAAGTGTAATTTGTATAAAATGTTTTAATTTATTATTATTTCTTCTTTTTGCACATGTAAGATTTTATGTAAAAGTTAATGAAGAAAGCGAAGATCACCATGACATCGATGATGAATGTTATCGCAATTCCAAAAGATACATCACAATCGCCATAAAATACTTGCGCACTATAGATCAGCAGTATACAGAATTGTACCTGTAAATCAATAATTTAAATCACTCAAATTTGAAGATGATGGTGGTGACCTACCATCTGCAACATCGTGAGCTTAGGTTTTAAATGATTTATTCTTTGTCGCCATTGTGGACCGAGAGCCGAAAGGAAGTAATATGTATACATTAACACGTGAATAAAACTGTTGATTATGATTGGAAACGTGTACATGGCACCTAGAAGAAAAAAAAAAAGAAACAATAATTGTGTTTGATTTATAAATGCAGATCGTTATTGATGAATACCTCCCACGTATTTCGTCATAATCCAACTAATAAAATATGTTGATGTGTGGTGGTACAGATGCAGATTGCTCACTTGGTTGTCTTTCTTTCGGAGAACGAAAAATATCGTTTCAATGAGGTCAGAAATCTTCAAAATCATCGTCCACCACACACAATTTAGCATCCTCATTGGTAAATAATCATACGAATATTCAATCGGCCAACAGGTTAATTTAGAAAACGTCCATCCCGAAGTGCACACCTGGAGATAAATTATTTAACAATGGAAATATAAACGAAGACAGTGAACTTACTCCGTATACCATCGTTGAACAGCTAATAATTTGTATGATGTTATAACACTGAACTACCGTTTTCAAATCATACGGTTTCCGTTTCTCCATATATTTGGGAAGGCATTTAAGAACGAGGAGCAAATATAAGCCGATTATTATTACCGGAACGGCTGGGCTCATCAATGGCAAATTCTCGGTCCTCTTGTCTGCAAATCAAAGCAATAAATTATAATTTCAAATTATGCATGAAAACAGCTGGATTATTTTTCTAATGTGGATTATCGGAAAATTGTCAATGGAAGCTAAGCTAAAGGTCGCGGTATAATTGAGGAAGGAAATTAAAAATACAGCGCACGGTGCACCGATAAAATATCGATTGTTTAAACTCTGAAAAGAAACTTAATGATCATAGTTTTTATTTCGAATATTCATTTATAAAATACGCTTAATTATTCACAATTTTGAAACATGCTTACATTGCATTTATTATTGTTCACAAAATCTACAATATCAAATTGATAACCAATTTAAAAATGTCTCAAATCACCTATAAATATAATATTTTTTTTATAGAAACAAGTATTTTATAAGTTCAATGATCTTTAAACAGTATTTGAATTAACAAAATCATGTTTCTTTTTTAAAATCTGGTAACTATTTCCGTACATCAGTAAATGTTTCCTGCCGATAAATGCTTTGAAAATTGCAAATAAATCAAGTAAAGACAAGACTACAAGAAATATCTAATGTAACATGATATAAACATAATATATGTATATAAAAGAAATTATCTATATGTTACTGATTCTAAAATTTGAATTCAATTGAGATGCATAGATTAGTTCTTTACTGCTGTATTCAAATTGAAATGTTCACATTTGTTTATTATTTTGTTATAAATTAAATATATTTATTATTTGATACTCACCTATTATTTCGTGAAATAGATAATTGTACGTCTCCATTTCGTGAATGCAACTTAAACTTCTTCTCCACTTCAGTCTATAATTCCACAAGAACTAAGCAATGACCAACTCAATCGTATGTATATATATGTATGGTAACTTTTTTGTGCAATCCATACTTCCTCCACGAGCGTAATTGAAAGACCTTGACTATAATATTTGGAAATAACAAAAACAGCATTTAGTTCATAGGGCATTACGTCTGACGGTACTAACTATAATTTACATACAATATATGAAAAAATGCACCTTTCATATTCAAAGAAATTTTAACATGATATTTTTTGTTCGTGTTGCAGTCCAAGGAGAAAATGATGCGAGGCGTACGAAGGGGTTGCGTGCGTTTAAAGGGCGCCGTGATTGGCATCGATGACGAAGACAGCACCTTCACCATCACCGTAGACCACAAGACCTTCCACTTTCAAGCAAGAACGGCAGCCGAACGAGAAAAATGGGTTCGCGCCCTCGAGGACACGATTTTCCGACACGGAAGCAGGGTAAAACAACAAACAAATATTACATTACCCCAAATACCTGAAATATTTATAAATAAAACAAAAACACGCGAATGCTCAAGGATTTTGCTTTGTCTTTTGACATTAGTTAAAAAAATATTATAAATTAAAAGTATCATTAGATTAGTCCTCAAAATACTGTTATTATAATGTTAATTGTGTAAATCCATTACATAATGACTGATTGACATAAGTTTAGTTGTAGACTAATCACGTGGCATTGTTTAACATGCAAATCTTTACCTACAATATATTTGTATAAATATTTTTCGGAAAATGATGTGTACCTATGTATTTTTCCGTAAAATAAATATACTTTGTGATGAATCCCATTTTTATATTAAAACATCCATAGCTTTCTGATTTACGGCAAGAAGCCGTTCCATTTCAGGTATTTTTCGCACAGTCACATCGAATAAATAAGCTCGCGCATTATTAACAATAAACCAGAACGTTATTTGATTACTGAACTCCATGTTTTAGCGATTGATCGGTTGAACGCGATGGATTTGTTGACCGTCCCTGTTACATTGTACAATACAAGATAAAACTGTCCAAATACTGAAATCTGAAGTGTACATTCCAAAGATTATAAATGTTGAATTTGGAATAAATAAACACTTAAAATTCTTTAGATTATTGGAAATAGATTCAATATTTGACAAACATTGAATTGATAATTTTGATTATAGACAACGTTAACATTTTGTATTTCGCGGGGAATATAAATCTAAACAAATTCCCTGAAAATCCCTCTACTTACAGCCATGCTTTGTTTACAGCTACACGATTTGGTGGTTCAAGGTTCTTGTTCTACCTTGTATCATGCTTCAAAATTGTTATGTGCAACTGAAGATAATAAATATTTTAATTAGCTAAATCGTAAACTGTTTTTTCTCTCTATCACTAATTAAATGAATTTGATAAGCAGAAACGTTCGCGTTGAAAACAATCAATTCTAACAACAATTCTGAATGTCGTGGACACAATTTATTCTTGTGTCCACGAGATTTAAACAAGTTTTTCTGATGCGTGTATTTGATATGTATTTAATGTACGCAAAAATAAAAAAAATCAATACTTTCAACACAGTACTTAACTAACTATTCTCTATTTTTTGTGTTTCTAGATGCGTTGGGACACGAACGGACCTCCGGCAACTATAAAAGACTTTGATAACAAAGTATCAGAAGCCGACGCTTACTTGCAACTAATGATCGAACAAACGCAGGTAATAAAATTGAACGGTCTTTAATATACCTTCTCTACGTGGAAAACTAACGGCATACATCCGAAAATATAATAATTTCGCAGACCGATTGTACTCATTTGTTTACGTAATTCGCAATTATCTTTTCCTTTTCTTATCGCGTGTTGTTTGTTCCCTAATTGGCTGCATAATTAGACTGGTATTGTCGCACGACTACATGTTTTCCTTTTGTTTTCATGCGCAAGAATCTAGAGGAGCGCATCAAAATCATCAAAGACGAAGAAGAGAAAACGAAGTGTCAAGTGATCCTAGAGCACGCCAACGTGAGTATTCATTTAACTAGTACATACGCATAGCAAGTTTTTACATAACTAATAAATTTGAGCCAAAATGTATATTACTTCAATTCAATTTGGTTCAATTTAAAATTAGTTTTTGCAAAATATTGTCAATTCATTTATAACATAATTATTTTGTTATGTTATATATGTTTAATGTTATAAATTTATAGCTTTTGTAAAAAACGTTACTAAATTTAATTATTTCCTTATCATTGTATGGAATAATTAAACACGCGATTAGTTTAAATAGAAAATAGATTCTTTAAGAAAGTTTTTTAATTTTCTGAAATTAATTTTCAGTTCTAATTAAATGCTTTTTATTTCTAGATGATGTTGGATAATATTAAGCATTCCATAGTTTTACTACAAATTGCAAAGGTAATATATTCGTTGTTTATCTGAACTAAAAAAATGACCAACTCTTTTTCGTGTGTCCGTATTTTTTTTAATTAATTAGAACACAGCGCATCCGATCAACGGAATTTACCAACCACCAACGAATATCGAAGCAAGTCTGACAGGTGATTTACCCTCCATGGTACACGTCCGTTGGAATATTGAATATAATTTTGTTTTGTTTATCGTAGAACCAGAAGTATTGCCGGATATGACCATACAGCAGGGTGTCGAAATGGCCTCGGAGTGTATGGAATCGGCTCGAAGGCATGCATCTATTGTCGGTAAGAATATAACTGCAAATAAATATTTTGGTCATTAAGGCTTCCGGTGTTTCCCATCATTATGTTCAGCAACAGCTTCGACCGTACCGGAAACCTCGTATTCCAGTTCAGAAGGTGAAGACGACTTTTACGATGCGAACGACTCTCCGTTTTCCGTCAGCCAAGCGACAACGCCTACGTAAGTTTCATGATTCCATTGATTGCTCAATAATTTCGGCTTAGTTTTTAATTCTTTTCTTTTTTCTATCGAATTTTCTTTGCATGTTGCCGTTATATTTAATTCGAATTTCGTTCAGGCGCGTTTAAAATCGATGCTCGTTTACTGCTAAATTGGATTGCGAACATTTGCAAAACGCGCGAACGAAGCCGCAAATGCGATTTAATAAAAAGCTTGTGCTTCCCGCTGACTCGACGTGGATGTAACTAAATTTATGTGAATATTGAGAAAATGCTACTTTCATATGTTGAACGCTGATTCTAAAATCCGGGCTATTGGGATACGATTGAAATGTCCGTCATTCCCACATAGATTATTTGTATTTAAACGAATGTACTAACAGAAATTGAGGTGCATCTGACGTTCCACGAAGTACACTATAAATAACATATTATTGCTGATGAACAATGGAACAAATTATATCATTTGGATAATTATATAATTAATTGAAAAATATAATGAATGTTGTTTATTCAGAATTAAAATAAAATATCTATAATATTCATGATTATGTTTATCTAAAAGGCAAAAGCAAAATATACGAAAAACGTAATTTTTGCTTTTCTGTCGTTTCACGTAAAATGACATTTCTTTTTTTAATCATTACTACACTCAACTTTTGCTTGTAATGTTTGTCGTTACTTTTTCATCTTGAAAAATTCATATGATTATTATTGTCGATAGTTTTGGTAAGCTTTCACGCATTTCCTTTTCGTCCTTCGACGTCTGGAGCTTCGGTTTTGGTGACGGCGCATGGCGTCTGCCGACCGCCGCCTCTAGTCGCCGCTGCTTCTTTAAAGAGGTCAATTCAACCCTCTCCGAGCAGATACATTTCATAAGCCCCCGATTAAACTTGATAAACAGAGAACGGCGCACGTTACAGCGGTGATCCAACATTAATTCCAGTTTGTTTATAAAATAGAAAATCAAACGCAAGTTGAAATGAAGGGGCATTAGTTTCACGCTATGCTAGCCGTGGGGCATATCGATCCCCTGTGATATTTACTGCTGCATATTTTTTTCGACTTGCCTTTTAACGGCGACATGAATACGTTGCTGAACACGTGCCTAAAACGATACAATAATAATTATTAAAACATCGTTTATTTTTATAAACGTAATAGTTTTTTTGTGCCAAAAATGATGAGACTTTTGCAGCACAGGTTGAGCCTAAAGAGACGCAGCAGCAGAGAGTAAGATATGAACTTACACTATTCAATAATCGCGTGGTTGCGCAACGTTAGCAGATATTTGATAAATCTTAATTGAACGACTTTTCTATCTACTAGTTACATAAATTTGCTGTTAGAAGCACATATCGATTTCTAAATTAATAACAAATATTAAAAAGCATTAAATTAGCTAATTTTGGTACGATTACCCGTCTCGTCCACTATATCCTCATATATGTAGTTTTGAATATTAGATCAATTTTTCACTATTTGCATAAATGAACCAAATTAAAAAATAATAGCAATTCTTGAATGTGTGAACAATAATAAATTATATTTTGAATGGACCAAATTTTCTTTATATTATTGAAGAGACGATTTCCAACGTTATTATACGAAAGTTATTATTTTTATGATTGTAAAGATGAATTGAATTTCTAAAATTACTAAACAAAATATTATTTGAATCCAATTAAAACCCAATTATTATTTTTCGAAATTTAGTAATTATAATTTTATTCATTGCACTTATTTAAAGATTTTGCACTCTTCCATTTAATTTTTACTCTGTTTTTCCTCGCAATCAGTTTCTGACCTAAATTCACCCCATTTTATGTAAGTATTTAAGATAAGCACCCACCCAATTAACGATATTATTGTTGTTCGATGTTCCGTCATTGTCTGACTACTGACCCGGTCCTATATTTTATTGTTATCTTATTAATAACTCAAATTTCACGAATACCATACATTTTTAGACAAATCTATCACTAAGCCATTTTATACGACTGTTTTTAATCTCGGATTCATTTGAGAACTCATTTTTGTATGTTTTTAAATGCTGTAGTTATGTATAATTATGGTTATTTTAATTCAAATAGTACTATTTCCTATTAGCGAAGATATAGCGTTATGATTTATTATTTAATTAAAATAGGGTTACGTTTTTTTTTCAATTCAAGCAGTGATTATGGATTCAGATTTTATGATATGTTTGTTTATGCTAATCTCTATCAGAATGTGTGTCATAATATAAATATGTTTATAAAAATCTGTCAGAACCGTGTCATTTTTCGATGGATTTACTGTTGAACTAAATCTTTCGTTTTTTGCCTTCCTTGATAGTGGGCACGTTCTTTGCGTTATGTTTTATGGGTGTTCCACGGCGGTTGTAAATCGCTACAAGTTTGAATTATACGGTTGCAGCGCCCTTCGTCAATTCAACGAGGACCACGCTGTTGCGGTTTCCCCATCGTCCGTTCAACAAACAACAGCCGCCTCCACAACAGATCCGAAAATCCTCCAAACAGTTTCAACTAGGGGATCCATCGCGCACTCCGCTAACACAGAAATTGGGAACGTGGATTACGATGGTAATGTTGGAGGTTACCTATCGAAGGGAAAACAAGAAGTAATTATTATTAATGTACAGCTTTATATGAGGACGACACCGAACCAGATGTGCAATTAGATGTTCAGGGATCGGTGATCAAGCATATGATAGGACAAGTAAAAATAGGTATGGATCTGACGAAAGTTGTCCTGCCCACGTTTATATTAGAGAGGAGATCACTGTTGGAGATGTACGCTGATTACTTTGCGCATCCCGATATATTTGTGGGGTGAGGTTTGTCACTATTTGTCTCAAAAGGAATGAGTTAATCTGTATTATATCGTTTATAGGATTGCGGATATGAAAGACCCCAGAGATCGTATGGTCCAAGTACTAAAATGGTACTTGTCTTCGTATCACGCTGGTAGAAAGAGCTGCGTTGCCAAGAAGCCTTACAATCCTATACTCGGAGAAACATTCTCCTGCATTTGGGACGTTTATGATGAACCAAACGGAGAGGAAGTCCAAGACGGGCCTGTGCCTTGGTGCACCGAAAATCAGCTTAGCTTTATTGCCGAACAGGTATCGCATCATCCGCCTGTGTCAGCATTCTACGCGGAGCACGTTAAGAAGAGGATAACATTTAACGCCTACATTTACACAAAATCGAAATTCCTGGGTTTATCGATTTGCGTTTACAACATAGGTCAAGGAATAGTGTCGCTCCTCGATCACGACGAACATTACGTAGTAACATTTCCAAATGGCTACGGTAGATCAATTTTGACTGTGCCTTGGATCGAACTAGGCGGTCCCGTGACAATAACCTGTCCGAAAACTGGATATTATAGTAACATTGAATTTATAACTAAACCATTCTATGGCAATAAGAAGCACAAGATCACCGCAGATGTATTCGGTCCCAACGATAAAAAGCCCTTCCTGCAGATTAACGGAGAATGGAATGGTCTGATGGAAGCCAAGTGGAACGAGAAAGAAGTGGAGGAGTTTATCGATGTACAGAAGTTGAAAATAGTTAAGAAACAAGTGAGACCCATTAGTCAACAGAGCGAAAACGAGTCAAGGAGGCTCTGGAAAGAAGTCACTGCTGGTCTTAAATACAATGACATCGAGAAGGCGACGCAAGCCAAAGCCGATTTGGAACAAAAGCAGCGTGAAGAGGCCAAAGAAAGGAAAGCAAATAACGTAAATTGGGAAACTAAAGTAATTATTATTTATATTCAATTGCTCACTTGACATCAGTATTTATTATATATATAAATATCTTATTTTCCAGCTTTTTTCCAAAACATCGGACGAAAACTGGCTGTTCTTGAAACCCTTGCAGAATCGGATGACGGCAACATCGAACACTTGAATTTCACCCTCCGTAACAACCAAATTATTACTTTCACCAATTGAAAGCGTTATTATTTTTTTTACATAAATTATTTTCATTTATATTGCGTGCGCGGACTCGAGTCGTTCCTTTCTCGCGTGTGATCTATTTCTTTTTCATTTTCCAGAGTTATTATATAGTGAACTGTGATAATTAAACAAAACGAACACGGCAAAATAAGTCGACGAAAAAGAAACATAAGAAAATTTAGCGAAAGTATGGATGATGAATGATGGTGTATAATGTACGTAGTAAAATAATGTATGTACACATTTGTATTTTCTCCCTGCTGCCGGACAGCCGTAAACATTATTTTCATTTCTCATTTGTTTTATTATTAATAATAATTTTATTGATATTATCGTTTTATTTTATAATCTTTATATATATATAAATGTGGAAAAAGTACAATCAACAATAAGATTAACAATTTTCATAAATGAATACAACATTTGACTGGAGTTAGCAGTAACGAACTGAGATTTGACCGACACTTGGCGTTTGTCTAATGAATTTTGAAGAAAATCCGTATGTTCAAATTTATTATTTTCTCTGTGTCTGTAGTTTATGATATCAACGTTTTTAACGTGCCCTTTTATTAATCTCCATTATTTTCTGATATTTAGTATACAACAATTTTATTATGAATTTAAACGAATCTGTTTATTTTCGATGGACAATTTCCGGATGAATTTTTACTATACAAATTGCTAATCTATGTCAAATTATAAATTTTTATTTTAATAAATTTTGATGCAACGATTTTCTTTTTCTTCGTATATTTAATGAGAAGTACATTAATGATGATAGAAAGATCTTAATTGAATTGAATCAAATTTTGACATTAGTAGTATTGTAATAGTTGAATGTGATTCTATCACTTTCCCTTTTAAACTTTATCGGAATAACTTTATATGTCAAAATTTTGTTGTTACACATTGGTTATTACTTAAATAATTGAAAGAAAAAATATCGTAATGCATGCATGTTTCTCATAAAGGGACTGTTATTATTACCGTCCAAGTTCTGCATGAAATAATTAAACATTGTACCGTAGACTTAGGCTTTTAGCGTTACTGATACATAGCGGAATTAGTTATTCGAGGAAAACCGTTGCATCGAATTATCATAAAATATAAATGTAAAAACAGTTTTTCACAATTTTAACATATCCAATTATTTGTAAGGAAATACCTAACAATATACTTAAAATCGAACACGAAGAAATACAATAAACCAATATTATTTTCCTTTTGTTTATCTCTATTATTAACATGCTATACGTTTTAAAAACGATTTTCAATGATCGAACGTTGTCTCTCCCAAAATTTAATCCTTTCCGGATAAAACTCTTCCTCTACTTTAAATTCAACTTTGCACTCATTGTTTTTGTTTGTTATATTTAGAAATGGAATGTGTCCATGTTGAGGCCATTGCAACTTGGGAATTGACGGCCAAACGAAGTTTCCACAGTCTTTCTCCAATTCGAGCCGTGGTTCACTGAAACCTAAAGTTCACGAAAAGCAATTCGTATTTTATCTGCGAGATTCATACCCAAATTTAGCAAAATTCGTCCAAAGCTTTACCAAAAGTTTGCTCATTTTCAGGTCTTCTTCAAGAAGAGGAGGAAAGTAATCGGACGTTGTGAACAAGTACAAAAGCTCGTCGCAATGACAAACTCCCCATTGAAAGTCGATGTTCTCGTTGGTAGCTGCAAAGACATCCCCGTAAGTAAACTTTCCCCGATAATTAAAATTGTACAGCCAAATGGGGTTCAACGATTTTCTGGATTGCAGAAGAACTGATTGATACGCGCCGTACGCAAAACCTCTATCAGTGTAAAGCTAAAATAATCAATTACAATACTGTTTTTGTCCAGTCGAACTATTTACATTAATTAATTGCTGAACGTTCCGGGTATTGTTAACGTTAATAAAATGCTGCCCATCGAGATAAAAGTCTATTAACTCATTGCAAAGGTAATCTTCATTTTTCTCACTAGCACTGAATGATAATGAAAATAGTAATGGAAAGTATTTATCAAAATTTTCGTTGAACGATTTGAGTGTATGCGATTTCCTAACTAAGGAAGAGGCTTTGACCATTCCATCGTCCGATGTAATTCCAGTGATCCAAGGCACCTGATTAAAATCGCCACTTAGCACAATTTCCATTGGAGCTTTAGTAATGAAAGGTTCTGGATTCGAGTCTGTTTTAATCTCAGTTACAGAAGAAAATATTGTAGTTGGCTCAAATGAAAAATACTGAAATTAATATTATTTATATTCTAAGATTGTTTTCAAACAACGTACAAACGTTAAATCCTTTAGCACTATCTATCAATTCGGCTGCGGGAACTTGCCTCAAGCACTCTACCATAGCAAAATTATCTTCCATAGTACAGTTGACAAATTTTGCTTGTCTCCTAGCAACGTCCTTCTGCAAATCATCAAATGGGTATCCCCATATATTCAAAGCTGTTCCGCTTTCGGAAATTGCCCTATGAAACAGATTCTTTCCCGAAGGGCTTAAAATCAGATGATGCACTGCAGCACCTCCCGCGCTCTGTCCGAAAATTGTCACTTTATCCTTGTTTCCTCCAAATTGTTTAATATTTTCCTGTACCCATCTCAGCACAAATATCATATCTTTATATCCATAGTTGCCAGGTGATGCGTCATCAACGGTCGAAAAGAAACCTGAACAATTTAAGGTCTTTATTTCACTAAATATGGAGAGCTATATTTCGAAATACCCATAATACCGAGCCGATAATTGAATGTAACGAGAACGATTTCTTCGTCCAATAAATAATCCGGTCCGACGTTCGTGCTTTGCCCGGAATCCAAAGTAAACCCTCCTTGATGAATATAAACCATCACAGGATAATTGTCGCTCAAAGAAAGACTCTGCGAGTAGGCAATGTTATTAAATCTTATAAAAATATATGCATTTACCCTTGTATAAATGTTGATGTACAAACAATCTTCAACGCCTTCAACAGGTGGATCTTCCAATTTTGAATACCAAATTTTTTGAACGCACTTAGGACCCTCGTCTCTGGCATCGTAAATTCCTGTCCAATTGTCTGGTTTCTCTGGTGACCGAAATCGCAGATTGCCCAAAGGAGGTTTCGCGTAAGGAACACCTCTAAACGAATAGAACAGTTCACCTGCCCTAGACCTGACTTTAATACCTACAATCGGACCATTCTCAGTCTCGACTATGGGAGAATCTTCCCCGCTTGCCGATAACGCAAAAAACAGGATAACTACAATCAAAACCATTTTCCTTCTACTGTATAATTAATTTAATCATGGATATTTATATAATTACTAAGGCCGACCTTGCTGCTTTATTATATTCTGTTATCGCTATTATGAATATTCATACTTAAATTATTTTATTCAAAATAATAAAATAAAACAAGGTTACCAAAAGAAAACGTTATCAATAAATGCTTAATGGGCGAGCAGAAATTGATTTTCCAAAATCGATTGACTTTCCCAAAAGTGCATCCTCTCCGAGTAAAAATCATGCGCAACAGCAAATTGCACTCTACAGCTTGTATTTGCGTTGCTTATATTTAAAAATGGCAAAAAACCGTGCCTGGGCCACGACAATCTTGGAACCGGAGGCCATATCTTCTGTATCTTCTTTCGAATTCCACGGTGGGCATTCAAAAAAAAAAATGAGTAGCAATGAACGTTTTCTGAAAAGCTGTTAAGGCATTACCCGAATCTGGCAAAGTTTGTCCAAAGTTTAACGAAAAGTTGACTCATCGTCACAATGTGAATTGGACGCCCCAGTTGAATTGGATTGTTTCGTTGGTTACTGCGACAAGATCACCGTATGATAACTTTCCGCGATAATCGAAGTTGTATAACCATATAGGATTTCTTGATTTTACGGCTTGCAGAAGCACGGATTGGTAAGCGCCGTACGCAAAACCGCGATCAGTGTAAAACTGCAAAATTCTATTAATTCAAGTCGAGCTTTTTCTTTAGTTTTTACCTTAATAAATTCTTGGACGCTGGTGGGATTTGAGGAATTCACGAAATGTTGACCGTCAAAATAAAAATCGATCAAATCATTCCATAAAGATTGCACTTGATCCGGCTCAATGGCAGAAAGAGCAATTGCGGCCCTAACTTATCAAAATTGGCATTCAATTGTTTCAGTGTATTCGATAGTCTCACTAGAGGAGAAGCCTTGATGATACCATCATCAGAAGTTATTCCTGTAATCCACGGCACCTGATTAAAATGACCGCTCTGCAATATTTTCATTGGACCTTTAGTCAAGAACAGCTCTGAATTCAAGGGATTCTTCGCTTCGTTTACCGTAGAAAATATAGTGGATGGTTCATTAGAAAATATCTTGAAATTTAAAAAAAATATTACTTTAAGAAACTTACAATAAAATCCTTAGCACTTTCGATCAATACGTCTGCCAGTATTTGCCTTAAAGAATCCACCATAGCGAAGTTATCTACCGTTGTGCAATTTACTAAATGTGCTTGTTGGATGGAAACTTGCTTTTGGATAGCCCCAAATATTTAAAGCTGTTCCGCTTTGTGAAATTACCCAGTGAAAAAGATTTTTCCCCGCGGGGCTTAGTATCATATAGTGAACTGCAATACCGCCAATGCTTTGACCAAATATTGTCACTTTATGTTTATTACCACCGAAGTTATTGATATTTTCTTGAACCCATTTCAATGCTAATACCATGTCTTTGTAGCCGTAATTGCCGGGTGTTGCATCGTCGACTGTCGAGTAGAAACCTTACGTTCTTAATTATTAAATTACACTTTTAAATTATACAGTAATAATTAGCGAAAACTCCTAAACGGTAATTAAAACACAAATACTATTTCTTCGTCCATTAAGTAATCAGGACCGATCACTGAGCTGCGACCGGATCCAAAAACTAACCCTCCATAATGAATAAAAACCATCACAGGAAAATTCGATCTCTGCGAAATGCTCTAATGGTCATTAATAATTTACATCAAACCTATATAATATTTATTTCATTCTCACTCTAGTATAAACGTTAAGATAAAGACAATCTTCGGAACCTTCAATTAATGGGTTTTGATAGAAGAAATAGTTTTTTTGAATGCATTTCGGTCCGTCTTCTCTTGCATCATAAACATTCGCCCAATTATTAGACTTCTCGGGACTCTGAAAAATTGTTGTACCTTATTTATGTGTACCTTAAACCTTAAATTTCCCAATGGTGGCTTTGCATAAGGAATTTTTCTGAACGAATAAAAGTTTTTTCCAGACCTCGACGTTTCTGATAGACCAATCACTGGCCCATGCCCAGTTTGCACAATTGGCGAATTTTCTCCATGTATAACAACAAAAATGCTTAACACAACGTATAACAAAATCATATATGTTAATTACTTTTTGTACTCTTGCACCCAAATTTATATGATTTAATCACTTTATCTTTTATTTTATTTTATCATTTATCTATTTGTGCAACACCGAAACTAATAAATGCAGAATATAAGAGTTCCGGAAATATGATCAAAAATACAATAAGCAGACTAAGAAGTTAATGCAATGAAAACAAAATTATTATATTTTAGTGCATTATATATTTATTGTTATTCTAAATAAAAAAATGCATTAACATTTTCGTTTATTCGAAGAAAAATGTTGACCTAAAAAAATGCTAAAATTGCTGTTGAACAATTTGGGTTTTTTTTCTCGTGTAATTGCTCTGTTTTCGAGCTATATAAGTCCGTTTCAAAAATATAAAGTGTGTAAGAATGACAAAAAAAGCAAAATGTTCCAAATCGTCATCGCATTGATTATACAAGTAAGTTTACTTTTTTCGTACACTTAACATTAATATTTCGCATATTTCAGATTCCGTTAGCTTTGCACGCGCAAACATTCCAACACATTGATTTGAATAATATCTCTAATCCTTATGAGGTGAAGATCTATAATTTATAAAAGATTGCATTTAAGTAATTAGTTATTTCAGATCGACTATGCTACCAGCTTAGTAAATTTCAAAGGACCATTTAATACGAAGATCGTGAACGGAATTTTAGCGCCCAAATACCAATTTCCTTATCAAGTTAGAATCAAATTATTTAATTAGAAATTATATTTAATTTATGTGTTTCTCTTCTAGGCTGCAATCTATATAGAGAGTTATAGAGGAGATACTATATTTTGTGGAGGCTCTTTGATATCCAACGATATCGTAATAACTGCAGCCCACTGCATTTTCGCTCCGTAATATTAAACTAAAAACCTTTGTTTGGTATTCAAAATAATTATGTTTTTTTTTTCTTTCAAGGCCTAGAAGAATTTTAGTTATTTTGGGAAATACCGACTTATCTAAATACAATCCAACGGAGATTAGAGTTGACGCTGATAAGTTTCTAGTGCATCATGCATTCAATCCGATTTCTTTGAAAAATGATATTTGCCTTTTACATCTACAGCAATCAATTAATTTTAATGGTGAGATATTAGTGTTTTTTATTTTTTGTACATCATTAAACTGTTTGAACGCAGAGGCCGTGTCTCCAATATCGCTTCCAAATTACAATGACGTTAGACGAAATTTCCTCAACAACGTCGGAGTGGTTTCGGGATTCGGAAAGACAACGGAAAATGGAGACGTCGTGAAGAATCTGATGTACTTGAACGTTCGCATTATGGATAATCAATTGTGCAATGAAGCTTTTCACGATAGAGATGCAGGCCTTACGAATATTTGCTCGTCGGGTTTTGGTAGGCATGGGGCTTGCCAAGGGGATTCGGGAGGTCCTTTAGCTATTGATGACAAACTCGTAAGAACTTTCGGTAGTGTCTCGAGAGCAATAAATTCATAATTAACTTTATAGATTGGAATAGTTTCATTTGGATCGAAGTTTTGTTCAAATGGTTTGCCAACAGTCTACACCAGAGTTCCGATGTTTTTGGAGTGGATTTCGTGTAACAGTAATATAAGAATTTGAATTATGATTTGTTCTGTATATTAACATTAAAATGTCATAGATCAAGATGAAATGTTTACTCTTTAAATAAAAAAAATATGTACTATATAAAATGGTTTATTTAAACACCTGTTTGCTGAGGTTGCAAAACAAAGACGTACGTATAATGATGTAATCACTTATCGATCATTGAAATGTAAACAACAGAAGCGACTTTTGTATTTCGAAAGTTACGTCATTTTTTTTTTTGTAAAAACCAGTTTAGGCGTAGCTTCTGTTAATTCAATAACATTGTATAATACAGAATCAATTCGATTGTATATAAATAGATATTTACTAGTTACTAAATTCTTAGTAAATCAAATAAACAATTTCAAAGATGTTATGGTACTTGGAGCAAATACTGCATAGATAAATTATTTAACACATGATTTGCGGTTTTATGTAAATGAAGCTAATGCTAATGGGTATAAATAGAGCCGGTTCTGTGGAAATGCTTCAGTGTGCTCGAAACTTGCAACAACTAAAGATGTTCAAGACTTTGTTGGTATTAAGTTGCTGCGTGGCTGTTTGCCTTTGTGCGGTTGCAATTGAACCACCAAACCCAAATGCTGGTAAATATTGTAGCAATATAATTAATATTAATCCTCAACTAAATGGTTTGCTTTAGCCAAAGGCACCTGCGTCTCAAAGCAGTGGAATCTCACTTTGAAGAGTGGCGAAAGTAAGCAGGTTCCCAAAGAATGCGCCCAACTGACATGCCAATCCAATGGAAGTATCCAATACACCAGGTAATTCATCCGCGAAACAGTAATATTTGCATCTATTTACAATGTTATATTTTTAGCTGTGGCGTAGCTGTGAATTCCAAGGGCGAAAGGTGCTCTGAAGATTTATCCAAACCTTACCCAGATTGCTGTCCCACTTGTTAATATGTAAATAATATTCATCTTGTTGACTTTCAAATTAATAAAAACTTGCTTTAAATATACTGAAATCAATTTGTTTCACTGTTACCTGTTTATATGATAGAAACTGTATTCCTAACGAATTTCCTCAAAAGTGACCATGATTTTAAAAATGCTAAAAATTGTGTTCACAATTTAAATTGTTTATAAAAAATATTTTTAGATTAAATACTGGATATTTCGCATAGTTTAAAGTTTGCTTTAGTGTTGCCAAGGTGGTCATATAAAGTATATCATACATTACATTTTTCGACATTATTAGTCGCAAAGAATTTGCGGAAATCAGGGTTTGTATATTTTCAATTCTTGACAAAATTTCGTATGATACTGTACTACCATGATATAAATATACGATTTTAATAACATGTTTTTAGATCCAGTTCTTTCAGAGAATTGAAATGTGCAAGCTGTAGACAAATCAAATCTTATGTCTATGACTCAGTCTTGTTGTCATCTTTCGAGCATTGAGTCAGATTGACAAACATTAAATAATAATAGATAATTATTTATGTTGTATATAATTTCAAAATAAGAAGTTTATAGTTAATAGAATTTTCATCAATTACTTTAGTTGACTTTGTAAGTATTTCTATAACGTGGAAAATTAGCCCATTGAATTTAATGTCTTATATATAAAGTTTAAATATAACAATATTTATGACCCTATATATTTCCATAAAAATCAACCCTACAGCGTAATGAATGTTTTTAATTTTAATCTGAGAATTTAACTAATTCCTTCGTATTATATTTTTGTGATACAGGTGACCTTAGACAAATACAGTGGAATCTCGCTTAACGAGTTTAATCCATTCCAAAATTTCCGGATTTTTACTCGTAGAATGAAATACTCGTATTAAAATATTCAAAAATACACATAAATTGTGTACACAAGTTTTAAAAATGATGTAGAAGGCGGGACTTCTCTTCTCATCGTCACACGTTAAGCGAGTCATTTTTCTTACAATTCATTTTGATCGTAAAGCGAGGTTCCCCTGTATTTATATAATGTTATGCTACATTCGTTACATTTCTGAATGCAACCTTCACAACATTTTTTTGTGATTTAAACGCGGGTACTTTTTTCATTTTCAGAGTTAACCTATTACAAACTAAAATTACGCCTTAAGTAAAAATAATGTCCAATGACAAGAATGATATTGTAGATAAAATAAAAACTGAATTTAGGAATGTGAGTTGTTAGTATTGTATGATTTCCACGAATAAAACATGAGTTATGTTTGCAGTCTTCAATTAGAGACATCCTCAAAAGCCAATTTACAAATGGAAAAATAAAAATAAATGAGGAGCCAGTTAGTCTGATAGCCAAATTGGTAAAAGTGATGACTGTTGAATCAGCAATGAGAGCTGCAGCAGAAGCTGAGGCCAATAGAAAGACAACAGTTGATTTAAATCACATAGAAACAGTAATAACAAATTTGGTAAATTGAAAAGTAAACTTAAATTTTATTTCTTAATTAAATAATTACATTTCAGTTATTGGATTTCCCTTAAAATAAATCCATGTCATTGCCAGCATTGACATCCAAGAAGTCATCATCGTAGGAGTCTAATTTTCTCCCATCAACATTTGGAATATCCATGCCATCACCACTGTCAGCATGGCCATCAGTTTCAGGCGTCGGTGGAGGATTCACAACATCATCTTGATCACTCTCTGCCCATTTGTTTTTATTAAACTTGCTGAAACTCTCTGCCCTTGATAGTAATTCAGGGAGATTAGTTTCAGCTGTTATTTTGTTCTTCATTTTATCAAATTTATTTTTTTTCTTCATCTTCAATTCCTCTTTGGCTTTAAGTCTATCCTCTTCAAATATAATATTCAGTTGATCTTTGGTTAATTCATTGTCATGTTTAACCAAAAGGAGAAAGACTCCACCTGATGTTCTCCTACGGGTATTGTTTAATATGAACATTCCTCCTTCCCTCTCTATTCTCTGAGTCTCTTTGAAAATTCTGTTAGTCTTCTCCTTACCAGCAACTTTAACAATAGTCAATATGAGAGATTCCTTTTCTTCGCACAACTTGTTTGCCAAGTCTGTTGCAAATTCTTCATCACTGCAGTCCATTGAATTAAGGTTTGGCAAATGTCTAGGCTGTATTTTATTTTTCCTCTGCTTCTCTTTCCTTCCCACAGAGCGTATATTTTGATTGTTGACATCACTTCTGGTTCTTTTATTATTCTTCCTTTCCTTCACATTCTCAACATCCTTCTTATTTCTTTCTTTATTGTCCCTGTATGAAGCACTTAATGTGTAGTCATAGGATTCTACATTTCTAGATCTGTCACGGTAGCTCACAGCACAACTATTAAGTGTATCTGACAACAAATCCTCATGAATTCTGGTACTCCAAACATTATACTTTTTCTGCTTTAGTTTATTCTCTTTCTTGGGTCTGATGGGAATTTTTGGTTTTTTCACTTTAACAGGAGCATCAGAATCTGAGTCTGTACTAGAGAACACTTCTCCATCCTCACTTTCAGAATCTATCACTGGTGGAAAACGACTATTTTCTCCTGAATAATTTGCTGGCCTTTCCAGTGGCTTATACAGCTCCTCTAACTGTAATGAAAATTATTAAAATATCCGAAGTTACCTTTCTATAAAACTAACCTCCATTATATTAACAATAATATAACAATCAAATAATAGTAATCGTAGATACTATTTGTCTAAAGTATTTTTTCAGCTTCTCCCATACAAATTTAACCAAATCACAAACTTCAATGTCAAAAATAATAATTAGCAGTTCATTGATACATTGGTAGTTCTAATAATACAGAAAACAGAAGTTCAAAGTGCATCGTTTTAGGCCTACTCAAGAATTATTTGCATGAATAGGACAAAATCAATTAAAAATTAACAATCCTGATTAAAATTCAAAGATAAAATCTAATTAACATTAGACAATTATATGAAATTGTTGCTGAGCCATATAAAAATGACCTACCACAGTTATTAAAATATTACCAACTGAAGTAAACCAAAGCAAACTTCATTGTTTTGATTTTAAATTTATTATAAAATATAAATGTGTTTGCTACAACATACATATTTATCTATATATTTATTTAAAAGGCAAGACCTGCTTGCCTTCCATTCCAACACTAAACTATTTCTGCTATAAATATATAAAATTTAATAATAATTTAAGTTAAAGTGATGGCTTTGGTTGAGACTTTTCATCCCAAAGTGAGATACCATCACATGCACATATCTTTTTTGGATTTTGAAATAGTCCTGCAGACCTGGCAATTATTCCACATGCTAGCCTGTTATTTTTCTCATCAGATATAACAAATGATCTTCCTATAATTTCTGATAGCTTGATCACATTATCATCAATCCTGAATGCTGCCCTCCCATTGCTCTCAGCATTTACACATCCAATATTTCCATATACACTTCTACTTCCATTGGTATAAGGATTAAAGTAACTGCCAACACTTGAACAACCTGGAAAAAAACCCTCATTATTTGGAAGTCACTCAGTGTTATATTTGATTTATACCTTCTGATAAATCTCCACACTCATGAACTGATATTTGATGTTTACCAGGATTCAAGCCATCAACTGTGCCATCAATAATGCAGATGTTGGGAGTCTGCTGTACAAATCTGACAACCCCCTTAACAGATTTTTTGCCTGTATCAAGGATGACAACACCAGATAAATTACCATAACCTTTGAGTACAACCTTTTTTCCAGACTGCTCCAACTTTTTGAATACTTCGTCAGCAGACAGGGTTGTATCAACAACTACACTTCCACTTTTCAGATCGATTTCTATGTTTTTTACACCATCGACGTTGTCTAAACTGTTTCTGACATCTCTTTCACAGCTATCACAAGTCATTTGCACAGCAAACTCTATTTTTGTCAACGCCATGTTAGGTAGAATTATTAAGTTTCGGATAGGACTAGAACATAGATGTTTTATTCCAATGATTAAGCATAAATTGATGAGTCCCTAACCATGAAAAATGTCATGTATAACCTTCGATCTTATATGTAAATGTTCAATATATACCATCCTCAATGCATACGTGTGCTATACATAGAATACCTTCTAAATTACTTTATGTAATCCCATGAGTACTTTTTTCTTTATTTTTAGATTTGTATCATAATAATGACTTTTCTTTTGTTATCTGAATGTAAAAACTAAATTCAAACATGTTCATATATAGAAATAAGTTATTTCGCTAAAAAGAATATTAAATAATTACTTTTTATGCTACTTAAGTGATATAAATAAACAAGGTATATTAAGTATGTAAGGAAATTGAGATAAATAAAGAAAATAAGTTGAAATACGATGACGATTAACAGAAACATAGTGAAAAAGAAAAATAGGAAGTTATTAAAATATCATATAATTATATATAATTATAACAATAAATAAAAAATAATCTATTTTTTCTTTGCTTCCATCGCTTTATCTAAACATGTTGTACATATTTCTTTGCTAAAATTATCATAATTGCATGGTGGTATTTATAAAAGGTCAATGAAATGTTCATATCTCTTCGTCGATAATTTAAACAAAAATATGTTTAATGTTGACATTGACCAAAGTACCAGCATTGTCCATTATTATAAAAGACCATTGAGAGCAAGCTGAAACTATCATTCGAACAACAAGAAATGTTGGCAAAACTCGTATTGTTTTCGGCTATTAGCTGGGTCTGTTCGTTCAGCATCAACGATCTGCACGAATATATGACTGATAGCGAACTGAACCATTACTTCTCCGAAAGCAAAAAGATCGGAAACTACGAAGTTGTTTATCTTCCAACAGTTGTATCAGTAAGGGAAGCAACAACATTGGATGGTGAAGATGTGGAGTTTGGACAATTCGATTTCTCGGCTTTCGGAAAGTAAGTTTACTGTGATATTTTGATGTTTTTTTTTTCGTATAATCAAGCTTATTGTAGGCCTATTAATTTAAAGTTGACGAAAAATACGAATTTGATTTCGCCTCACTTTAAAAGTTACATTCACGAGGACGACTACATCGAGGAATTAAAGAAACCCGTAGAAAATTGTAACTTTATTCATAAAGATGAAAACGGCGTTGGATCAATTAACATTTGCGTTCCAAAGCGCGTGGTAAGATAATTCAAATTATGGTAATGGCAATGCGTTTTTAATATATGTCTTTCAGCAAGGATTGTTGTTTTTAAATAATATAACATTGGAAATTTTACCTTTGACGAAAAGGTTGGAAGCTATTTTGAAAATAAGAGAACCCTTGATCGAAGGCGAAGACTTTGAAGATAAAATCCCACATTTGGTGAAAAGAGCAACGGATAAAGTTTTTCATTACGATTCTTTTCCTGTAAAATTTATAAATTCTAAGCAAAGAATACAGAGAGCGAGCAATCGACCTGTTGGAGGATTGACGGTGGAATTGGGTCTCTTCTTCGATGAGGCGGCTTACAAGATATTTGCACCTTACATGAATTATGATGATTCCAAACTTCAGGATATGATCCTAGCATATGTTAATGCTGTAAAATATACTGATAAAGTATTTTTCAAATTTATATATTAATGAAATAATTTTAGGTACAAGCTTTATATCATCATCCTAGTCTAGGAACTTCTATAAATTTGCTATTGGTTCGACTTGATATAATGAAAAAACAACCGTCGAAGATGCCCCACTACGACGGCGAGAGAGGAAAACTTTTGGATTCCTTCTGTGATTACCAAAACAAAATAAATCCTCCTGATGATAACCATCCAGAACATTGGGATATGGGACTATACGTTTCTGGGTAAACTTTTAGTTAAGTAGTTTAAAAATAACATGTTTATGATATTCTATTTAGTTTGGATTTCTTCGCCTACGAGAAAGGACGCAAAAGTGGCGTTACTATGGGTTTAGCAACTGTCGGTGGTGTTTGTCTTGGACAATACGCCTGCGTTATTGCAGAAATGGGTACTACAAATGTTTTCGGAAAACCTTACCCAAGTGCCGGATTTACTAGCGTATATATTTTGGCTCATGAAATTGGACATAAGTAAATAAAATCATAATAACTAAACTCTTTATAATAGTTTAAAATCTGTTTTAGTTTGGGAATGCATCATGATGGGACAGGCAATAGTTGCCCAAAGGAAGGATATGTAATGTCTCCTTCAAGAGGTACAAACGGAGAAACGCAGTGGTCGAGTTGTAGCGCTGAAATTGTATCAAAATTAAGGTACACTTTGAATTAATATTTATGTTATTATACAATTGTGTAATTTTGTAGCTGGGCTACGTGTTTACAAGACAGCGGAAAACCTCCAAATCCCGCATTGGACCATACGAAATTTATGGATATTCCAGGACAAATTTACACGATCAAAAAGCAATGCGAAATACTGTTAAGAGACAAAGACGCATATATGTCTTCCAGTCAACAACTGTCGACGATTTGCTACAATTTACAATGCAAAACCCCACACAGGAGTGGATATTACCACGCTGGTCCAGCTTTGGAAGGAACTCAATGCGGGAAGGGCAAAGTACAACTTTCTAATTTAACTGACTAAATCTAATTGCTTAATTGACAGTATTGCTATGGAGGAGATTGTGTGGCGAAAACCCCACCAAAACCGGTGGACACCGTTCCAGGAGGTTGGGGCCCTTGGAAGACGGGCTCATGTACGTCTGGTTGTATACTCAAATCCCAAGGTTATCAGGATAAGAGGCGAATTTGCAATAGTCCGTATCCATTGAATACCGACAAAGGCTGCGAAGGAAGCAGCTATGAAATAGGATTATGCAAGGATGATAAAGTATTTAAAAAAAAAATAAAATAAGACAATTTTAACTAAATCAAGCTGATTGCAGTTGTGTTCGAAGAAGAAGAGGCGAACCGCTTCAGAATATGCGTCGAAGAAATGCGGAGATTTCTCTAAACTTCTTCCACAGTTAGATCCAAAAGGTTCGGGGTTGCAGGCGCCTCACGAAGAAGCAAGATTATGGATGGGTTGTGCTATTTTCTGCAGACGTGCTGATTCTGGCAGTTATTACACTCCGAGGATAGAATTGAACGATTTGGGAGTGTCTCCATATTTCCCAGACGGAACTTGGTGTCACAGCGATAACGGTGGAAACTACTATTGCGTTCAGCATCACTGTTTACCAGAAGTAAACTGACCAATCTCAATTTTAGAATACAACAGTTCATGTGATTTTCGGTTTGCAGAACTTCCAATTTACGAAGTCATTCTTTAACGGTTTGGGCGATGATATACCGATACCACAGAATGCGCATCCCAGCGATTTGATATCCGGAAGCTTATTGAAATATCTTTCGTTGGGTCCGGATGGGAAACCTCTGCAAACGACTTTACGACCGGGAGATACAGACATGCCCAAGGACGAGGATTGGGAAACCAATGATTACTTGCTATTGCCGCACATCAACGAAATACCCGAGAGCGTTGTTGATAGCGGCGAAGTCGATAATTTTTTGGATTTCATGGAATAATTTTATTTAAATTGGTTTAGGGTATTTAGCACTACAAATTAATTCATTTATATATACATATTCAGTTAATATGTAATTCTAGTCACGAGAGTAAACATCTAATAAATATAAGCCATTTACACTAATAGTATTTGGAAGTTAAGATTACCAATATGAAATTGATATATTGATATTAATCGTCTCGATTTTTAATGTTATCGCTTTGCGTCACTCTAAATAAACAATAAACATTTAATTCGCATATAATCCACTGACAATAAATATTAAATCTTTTTTTATTTGATATTATTGTAGAAATACCACATACATTCAAATACAACTACAGCATTTTATATATTAATAGAAATGCATAGACTTTAACAAAAATATAGTTTGACCTATCGATTTTTGTTGGAGACTAATTGGAATTTCATTGAACATATAAAATGTGAATATTTAGATAAGTACAATTAAATAAAACGCTGATGATTTAAATATGGCACAAAACAGCTGTTGTCTTTGGTAGCAAGATCCTGCTAATTATGCTCTGACTTTGGAAGAAAACGATAAAGTATTAATTGGTTTCCATATCGAAAAGTCTCCAAAAATCCTGCGTACAGAGTCCAATAAGCAAATGAGACTTAGTGCGCCTGCGATTTGAGGGAACAGTGGAAACGACCTCGAGACTACTCTACCGATCTATCTGTCAGTGAGCAAAAGTGCGCCGGTTCGTTCGATACTGTTTTGGTGCACGACTAAGCTAATATTAACGCTCGCAGTTCAACAACACAACGTACAACAATTCCATTGAAATTAAAAGTTAATACCTGACCAGATATCAACAAAAACAACAACACCGATTTCGGGTGAGCAGTCTCTTGAGTTTACTGTACTTTTGAGACCGGCGGAGCCTTTCATCCCCGGTGACTCATGTCCTGTTGTGCAATTCAGGTGTTTTTAATCAATAATTTTGCAAAGCTGTCTACTACTGCCCTACGTTCCTGGACTGTACCGACTGTACCTTATTTACTTGCTTATATTTATCAAAATTGTTATTCGTTTTCTGGTTCATACAAATACACGAATTGTTAAATAATTCATGTATATTGTTTAGGAAACACTTTCATTATATACACCCTAAATTGCTACTGTATGCTTTCTTACGATTTGTGTTCGGAGGCCAAGGACGAATGGAAAACTTTGACATTCGTATCTACGATTTTTTCTATAAACCTGTACAATTAATTACACAGTAAATGTACATAATTCAATTTCCTATATATTTTGTAGATATAACTGATGACTTTATTTCTACCACCAAATCGTTACTACAGTTTATTTTATTTGTTCTACGTTTCTTTCGAACTCAAGTAGCGAGTTTTGTGATAGAGGCAACGATATAATCATTGATTTTTACAAATGATATCACTATCATTTTGAGGTTGCAGCTTAGGCTTCTTCTGTTACTTCCAAGCATATTCGAGGTTTAATCAACAAAAAATAGAATCAACCCTATTAAACCCCGCCTTCATGCATACATGCAATATGATACATCTACAAAATTGTTTCTGATTACTGCTCCCTTTTGAAACAAAATGACACTTTCAATAAACCATTTTTTTCCTCTATCACCCACTTTGAGAATCACTCATCTAAACCGTAATCATGTAACTGAATTAAATATACTATTATATTCTTATACGATTACAGTAAAAAGACGCATAATTAAATTAATGATTGTTTACGGTTTTCTATTGGAAGATTAAATGTTATAATATAATGTTCTGTAAATGCCGAAACGTTTCGTTAATAAATATATTTGGATTTGAGCCAAATTTTCATCTCGAGCAATTTCAGATGTTGTCTCGCACAGATTGCCAAAACGAAGATGAAAGGGAGGATTACAAATGTCGAAAAAGTATGAGATTAAGGTAAACGCAAAGGAGATGCCAAGGTCGCGCATTATAATCTAAAAGCGGACGTGAAATTCGCGGCTCTCTAAATATCTGGGACGACAAGACAGAACTCGGAACAGTAAGAAATAACTGTAAGAAGTGGAAGTGCTTTGTAGTGGTGCTCCTCTTGGATAGTATTCTATTTTTTTTATCATTCCGAATGAGTATATTTTACAAAAATTCGTTATCTAACACCATTCAAGTTTCAAGTTGTAGCCTCAAAATTTGCAACTGCAGTACATGCCGATTGCAATAAGCATTGAAGTTGTTGTTATTGATTGATTCGCACATATAGAGAATGTTATCAGACGTGCGTGTAAAGAGAAAATGTATAATGTCATTTGGATTGATTTTTCTTAGGATTCAAATTAACGTTTGGTATTGCATCTAATTGAAATCTATAGAATATTTATCTTATCACAGAACATTCTATTTAAATTATTTAGAAAATATTCACTCAAGTGTATATGTTGCATGACAAATAACGGTTTGAAATAGTTAGTATTCTAATATTATACATATTGCCAATATTACATACTTCCTTTTAGTACGTAATTATTATTCTCATTTGCAAATTGCGACAAAAAAGAAATGCAAATAATTTGGTAAAGAATTTGTTATTAAATAATATTTAAATTTAGTCCATAATCACGAAATTATTATTTTTTCATTTGATATCGCAAAGTCATACTGCAATTTCGAGTCGACAGGATATATAAAAAAATATGCGATTTCATCGCCTGCACAATGATCTCGTGTTTGTTATTATTGTTTCTTTAAATAAGTAGCGTTTGCGTAACGGGCCAGAGAATCGGATAACCTTTGAAACATCTGATTCTATCCTCAACATTCACAATATGATTCAAGACGCATTTCACAACAACATATTCCATTCTTATCATGACGGATTTGCACTACTATCTCGACGTTCGTGCGGGACTAGTTCAATTAACAGTATTTTCAACTTTAATATAGCTAATGGAAGAAAACGGAAATAACAGAATGAATAAAAAAAAATGTTACAAACATGTTATAAATGGGCTCGTCTGGTTTTCTAATCAGCACGACTCGAGGGTATTTACATATTTATGCCATTCATAGTAGCACGCAAATGAAATTAAGTGACTACGATTGCGAACTAATCAATGCCACCAGTTGCAATGAAGTGTGGACCATGTTAGAGATGTTAATAATATACGTAATGTCGTGAAGATGTTTGTCTGTTATAAGGTGTATCTTTTAACATAGATAATTATAATTTCTGTTCCTCGCATAGAATAACCAATAACTTTTTGTTGTGGCTGTAAAAAATGTTTCTTCATTTGTAAACAAGTTTTTTGTATTTATTTATATGAGATGGAATTTGTACCGCTATTTTGTGTTTGTACCTTTTTGAAAGAATCTTTGGCCACAGACCATATTTAAAAACAAAACGAGAAGCAAAGAACTTCTGCCAACCCAGCTGTAAATATTTATAGTTTTCCCGAAATTAAATCATTCTAAGCAATTTAGTCATATTTTCTAAGTACCTAAGACGAAATGATAATTAATGGTTTTTATTTTAGTTAATTGTAAAAAGTTTATCTTAGTTTCGTTAATCATATTTGTATGTTGGTTTAGAATATTTATTTAACAAATTAACAGTAGTAACAATAGTAAATGCAGTTAGTTCCTACTGTTTAGGTCCTAAGATATGATGATAATATGAAAGAATATTGTAATAACAACAAAATTAAGAAGATTATTCTGATTCCATAGTTTTGCCCTAAAAATTATTAAATTAAGTTGTTTGTTTTATTTAGTTGTTTTCTTTTATGCTTTGTTGTTGCGGACAGCCACAGATTATCGCAACATCCCAGTCTGACCTAGATAAAATTTGTTATTTTCACTGTCTTCTTTTGTCGTATGATTTGTATTTTGTGATAATAACACGAAAACTAACCATGTCGTGTTTTGAAACTCAAATAATATTATTGATTATCATGTATAATTCAATATACTAATGTTTTTTTTTTATTTGTTAGTAAAAATTTTATATATTTTTTCACAAAATTTTGAATTCTAAATTTTGTAATGAAAAAGATTTATAAAATTTCACATAAATATGAGCTCATTAAGAATATGTTAACAAAAATAGTTATTATAACTTATTGTTATCAAGTATTAGCGTTTTAATCGATGAATTGTATAGAATATATAATATGAGTATATAAAATGACAACAATAAGTGTACATTTATCAATTCTAAGTAAATTAAACTTTATCAAAACATGTACTAAAAATAATAATTTTTGAACACTGTACTTCAAAAATTATGTTAATTTGTATCATTTAATATAAGATTGTATATGACTTATCAAATAGAATTCGTGATAGCGTTCATATGAAGAACAGACGATGAAAGGTTTTCGTCATATCCTTTATAGAAATCTGGCGTACGGTGTTTATAGCCTTATGTCGTAAAAGCCAAGGGAACCGAACGGAAGCCTGGCATTGAAAATGAGTTATATTTAAATAAATCCTGAAGTCCTGTAAATGTGCAGGAAACGGCTTAGCCAGAAAGTGACGCGACGGAGTCGAGCCCAGTACCTTTTTTTTCTCTCCGAGTTTAACAAACCCAGTTACATAAAGAAATTGCGTTCCACAATAACAGATCACATCGGGACCTTGAAAATCTCCGCTGTTTACAACTGTTTCAATAATAAAGTCTGCTGTGTCGCAGGAACACACCTCCAAAATAGTGCGTGCCTTTTTTTAAATGAATCTCTCCTTCGTAAGTCGCGCGATCGCAAACACGCGCTTATCGCGCGTTTTCTCCGATCCAATCAGCAAGTCGAACGCAGAACTTTCCCCTCATAACAGGAGAAACATGAAGTCAAACATTTACATCCAAGTAAATACAATACAAAAAAAAAATAGAAGAGCAGCATACAATTATCTGGGCGGGAGGAGAACGTCGCATTCTCATTGCGAACTTGGCATAACTTTGGTGAAAACAAGAACGTGTGTTCTTAATTTTTGGCATCGCCAAACGGACGCATGCATAATTAATCACTTACATAAATAAATAAACAAACTACGGACATAGAAAATGACGAGGATCGGTGTTAATGCCCTGCCTTAAAAGTTCATTGCGAATCCTTCTATCCTTGAGCTGACGTTCTTCCATGCTCGATTATTTTTTTATAAATTAGTAATCAAGGCAACTCGCAGTGCAAAATACCTTGTTTATCTATTATTTATATTTTGGTGAATGAAGACTCACTCTATTGCGACTACAATGGCAACGCCAGTTTGTTTATCGAAATGATTCGTTAACGTCACAGTACGACGTCGATATATTTCTCCACGCATCGGCTGATGAGACTCAGTCACATACAGATTTTTACATAGTGAACACGTACGTTATCAATTGCTGTAAGTCGCATACGATTTTTCCCTTCAAGGTGAATGATATCCATTCTTTCAATTCAACCTTCTCAGAATACATATTATCACAATATCAGAAACCGTTTTCTGTTTCATCATTGATATTCTTTGTTCAATTTTTATTTTGAGTGAAATATGATACAAAAACACTTTCGTTTTTTATACAATAGTGGCGATTTCCTTGTATCACCTTCCAACTGTAAAGTATTCTCTCTTGAAATTACAATAAACAAACTAAATCCTTTGTTTTCAATTTGTATGATTCATGAAGAGTTCATTCTGTTTTATTGTTTCATTTTTTATATTGGACTCGATTAATGAGCATATTGATAATATATAAAATTTGTTTGCTTTTTGTTTCACAAAACAAGCAAGGAATATATATTTGTTAAATATTGTAAATTAAAATTATAATAACTACGTAATCCGTTGTTGATAGTCAACGCGTAGTTATGCGCACAAATTAATTTTTTTTCTTCAACTTTACAACAATGTGTAAATATGATACTTTTGTTCTCTCTCTGCATTATTACGATCGGCGTAGTTGATTAATATTTTGCCATATACTTGTTTTATTTTGCACTATTTTTTCAATTTAACTACATTTAGATAACATGTATACGGTATGTATGTATAATAATCAGTTGTATTGATCAGTGAGTAATCTTTTAATAAATTATCTAGTCGTCTATGAAATTTGGACGTAACAATACGTTACGTTGTTTACTTAAATGTGACAACTATCAAAATTTGACGTTACCAAATGACAAATTACTATTAGAGATAATTGCAAGTTCTTTGATTCCATATTTAAACAACGCACGTTATTCAAATGGAATAACGAAACTGAAACGTATTAAAGTATTACATAATTATAGAGACGTAGGTAAGAGTCAATTATTTACGTATTAATGATCTGTTAATTTGATACCACAATTGAAATAGATAAAACAAAGCAGATAATTGAATTTATGGTGTCAGTAGTATGTACTCATTCAGGTTTTCCTTCAAGGTTGGAAGTCTATTTTGGAATGCGATAAAGTAACAAAAATAATAAAGGTTGAAAATCAAATTCCAGTCGAGATTACAAATGGACAATAGGTTCTCGATAAATTTTAGATAATTCGCTACGTACAACAAAAAAAAACTTTTAAACGCGTGCACTTCATTAATTGTAGTTGCGCAATTTTTGGGCGAAAGCGAGACTGCATCTCATTCTTTACGTAATCAATTACGACAGTCGGAGTTAATAATATGTAGCGTTTTTGTTGTTGTTGCTGCTGCTGTTCTCTATTCGCAATCCTTTTTTAAATTTGCTGTTTTTTTTTGCAGATTGAATAAAGTGAAAGCGCGCTTGAATTCGGGATTGTATTGAGAACGAAGCGGTTTCTCAATGTCTAGAGCAGCGATGAAGGAGTTCTGAACATCTTCCAGTCGATTCCCTTCGTACAAAGCCACCACTTTTCATAGAGATATAAATCAGATAAAACAGCTCCACCCATCATGTCTATGTTCTATATTGGACGTTTCCTCAACAACTTCAAAGATTTTTACAATGAGATTAATGGTGCTACCCTTACCGGCGCCATCGACGTCGTTGCCGTCGAGCAGCCCGATGGCACCTACAACTGTTCACCATTTCACGTCCGATTCGGTAAAATCGGAGTTTTGAGGAGCAGAGAAAAAGTGGTAAGTCTTTATTAGCAAGTATCACGGTACACTATAAGAGAAGTCCCGTTTGCTTAGAAAGTGTTTTGCGCGAACATCATCATGAGTTTTTCTTTCTCAGACACGGATAATTACCGGGTAATCATAATGATTACTTTCACAACGTATGCAGAATTGTTCAGTTCGGTCTCTCAATTGTTGTATATTTTTATCGGATTAAATTGAAATCCTTGCTCCAGTTTCCTGATTGAGCTAATTTCATAATCAATCATTTTGCTAAGATGAATTATGTAATGAAATCTTTGTGCGAATTGTTAGATAAATAATATAGGCGGATGTGCCGATTTGTCCAATCGTCAATTTTGCGGACGCGCAAATTGACCTAAGTGTGTCTTCAATTTCATGACATTTAAAATCCGTTTGGGGTCAGATTGATGATTGTGTCCTGTTTTAGGTTGATATTGAGATCAATGGAGAACCTCGCGACATCCACATGAAATTGGGCGAAAGTGGTGAAGCATTTTTCGTTGAAGAAGTCTTCGACACTGAAACAGAGGAAATACCGGAACACTTGGCGACATCTCCGATTCCGGTCTCCCATTTCGAGCATTTGTACAACTCAAAAGTATGATATCGATTTTTTTATGATAATCCAATTGTAATATGCATTGATTCATATTTTTTTAAAGGGTCGCAGGAGGAATAGCATAGATTTGGGCGATAAGAAGCCGGTGCTGAATCTGGAAAATCAGGTGAACGATTACAGCAAGCGTCGTAATACCACCGACAATGATAATGAAAAGAGACGAGGACACGATTTCATCAAGCGTCAAATTGGATTGGGAAATATTGAAATCGGAGAGAATTCAATGGAAGACTTGACGCTTTCGTTGCAATCGACCACTAAGGAGAGTATCGACGATTTGAGCAAGGACAACGACATTTCCGACACCATTTTTAAAATGGACAGTTTGGATCACGATAGCAAATCTGAGTCCACTACTCCGAACAAAGAAGAAGTTAAGATTCTTCCACCGGTGAGTGATCCGCCCAGTGAGACCAAAGGCGCAAAGAAGAGACGCAGGAAGAAGAGTGTTATGAAGAAGAAGGGATCTCAAAGGAAGATTTCCAATGTCACAGATACTCCAACGCCAACTGTTGAGCCGAACGAAGAGTCGAACACTGATTTGAAAGGCAGCGACACAAACACCGAGAGGAGTTCATTGGAAGGAAGCCCATCAGAAGCGGAAGCCAAGGAGGCTTCTAAAGCAGATGAGAATACGTCATCTGTGGCCAATAGGAAAGTACCTATGGATCCGGATTTCCATTTCTTTAGTGATACTGAGTTGACGACAGGACAGAGTGATTCCAGACCCAATACTCCTATTCATATTGAATCTGTCCAATCAGACACGGAATTCGAAGTGCAGAAGAGTAAGGACGACAACAAAGAGAATGAACAGCAGAGCCAAAGCTGGGCTTGGGGGGAATTCCCAAAGAACATGAGTCAGACGAACACGGCGAACGACGAAAAACCGGGAAATAACCAGGAAGAGCAACATAACTCTATGCTGAGCAATATGTTCTCGTTCATGAAACAGACAAAGCATAGAAGACGTAATAGCAAAACGGAGGGCGTCTATTTGGCGGATCTCAGTTCGGGAGCCATCGATCCGGAAGTAGCCAACCTCTATTTTACAACCAATAGCAATAAACAAAACGCAGGTAAATATAATGTAAATGTGCCTTGAACTTCTCACGCTTTGCTTTTTTCTCTCATTTCTCTCATTGTTGTCATTATTGTTCTTGGTTTAGTTTTTGTCTTTAGTTTTTTCGTTATTTTTGGTTTTTCTTTTTCTTTCCTTTCGATGTCATGTTATCCGTGTATCGTTCAGATGCAGACATGGATTGTGAATCAGGAAATGGACCATCTCTAACGCAGAGCCCGAACAGCGTGGAAGGATCGAAATCTATAGATTCCGATTTTGATGAGCAGAACAAATTGTAAGAACTGCATTCGATCTACCTTCAATAAATTCCTAATTTATATATTGTTTTTGTATTACTTACAGGGCACAAACTTACATGCACGATATCTCTTTGTCGATGTGCGGTTGGGAACCAGAGCCAGTCGAGGATACCTTCCTTCGTCATGTAGTTGCCTTCAGTGATCTCTGCAACAATCCCTCACTATTTGAATCGCCGAATCTAGTCGTTCGCATCAGGAATAAATACTACAATTGGAAAGTTGCCGCTCCGATCATTTCTAGCCTGATTATTTACCAAAGACCTTTGCCTCAAGTAAATTAAATTGCCGCATACATGTTAAAGTTACTAATCTAAATTTTATAATTGCAGTCGACTGTTGATCAACTGATCAATATACATATGCCATCTACAAACAATGCCATTGGAGTGTCACAAGAAAAAGAGCAAAAAACAGAATCCAGATCTTGGATGTGGATGTGGAGAAGATCACGCAACTCCCGTGAAACCACTCCTGCTGCAGACTTGGGAGAAAACAAAGGAGGGGATAAGGAAGTTAGCGAGGAAGTGTTCCAAAGTAGCGAGTTAACAGGTACCACGTTATGTTTGTGTGCTTTTATTATTTTTGCTTATAATTTTAATCACATTCGTCCATGATTTGAACATCGTACGAGATTATTTAAATGAAACTATATCTTTATTTTTAAATAGCATTAAGTGAGACATACGAACTGTCTCAAGATGCTCTCGTGGAACAAGCCAAAGATTCGGGTGTTGAAGACGAGAAGCCAATTCTTCTTCATGAAGGTGTAAATGAACCTGTTACGCCTGAAGGCTGCAAAGTTAATAGCGAGAAGTGTAGGAAAACGTTGCGTTTGAGTTCAAGCCAAATTGTAAGCAATAGATTAAAAAAAAACCTGAGAAATCATTATGTCATATCGTTTTGTGTGTTGCAGAAAAAACTAAATCTTCGTAACGGCATGAATGAAGTTGTTTTCAGCGTGACTACAGCATATCAAGGTACTACAAGATGCAGCTGTCATATTTATAAATGGAAATGGGATGATAAGATCGTTATTTCTGATATTGATGGAACCATCACCAAGTACGTAGTCCAACGTGTATTTTAGTGCTTCTTAATAATAATGTTTGTTTAGATCCGATGTTCTGGGACACATATTGCCAATCGTCGGAAATGATTGGTCACAAACTGGAGTAGCTCAGCTGTTCAATAAGATTAAAGATAATGGATACAAGTTATTGTATTTGAGTGCAAGAGCCATAGGTCAGGCCAGAACAACAAGGGAATATATTAAATCTATCAAACAAGGCGATTTGTATATGCCTGATGGACCCATACTTCTTAATCCCACATCATTAATCAATGCATTCCATAGGTAAGTTGAATAAATATTATCTCAATGTGAAATATTCTTATGAACAAAACATTTTAGAGAAGTAATTGAGAAGAAACCAGAACAATTCAAAATCTCTTGCATGAGTGATATTAAAGCTCTATTCCCAATAGACTCAAATCCATTCTATGCCGGCTATGGCAATAGAATAAATGTAAGTATAGCATCAAAGTATATTTAAAAATGATGACTAATGATTATTTTCACAGGATGTGTGGGCATATCGCGCGGTGGGTATTCCAATTGTTAGGATTTTCACCATAAATCCAAAGGGCGAATTGAAGCATGAGTTAACCCAAACCTTCCAGTCAAGGTAAGAACTGTTTACTAGAAAAGCATGATATTATTGATCGTATTTAACTATTCTACATTTAAAATAATTGAAGTTATTCTTTTCTTTTTTTATTTGGGAAAGTAGAAATGTCTGTCTAATATTTTGCTATGTTTTTAATTTTACAGTTACTCTGGCCAGTTCCTGGTTGTGAATGATGTTTTCCCACCAATAATAAATAAAATTATCAGTACCGAAATCGATGATGACGATGTCGACGATTCAGATTCGTCGTCGTCGTCAGAATTGCAATTTCAATAATCAATATTCGCGATAGTATTCAAAGTTTTTCTAGTCTGTGATTTACAAAGCAAAACTAAATCTAGTTTTAAAAAAGAAAAGACGGTTTAATAGACAAATTAAGTTTTAAGTATTTTTTCGCTGTGACAATTCAGAGAGGATCTTTCAGTTTTTTTTCTATAATTTTTGGGTTTGTTTCTGTAATTTTTGGGGGCTTTGGTTTTCGTTTATTTGGCTTTGTTGCATGTATTTAACAAACTTGGAGCGTGTCGTACTTTCTTGAGATGAAGCGTAAACGAAGGATCCTCTCTGAATTAATTTGTTAAGTTTGAATTCTTACCAATACGATTTTGGTATGAAATATTTATCCTTATGACCTTCCCCTTTTTAAGTAAAATATTTTATTTTTTGGATTCAATTTCTGCACGTCGCACCAACAATTCTTTTATCATTTTATCCATGAATTTATTGGTAAGAACTTTTGAAAATTAGTGATTATGCATGTGTTTATCAGCTTTGAAGATATATTTTCTACAGTCTTGTATACATTGAAGATGTTTTTTCTTGTTCTTATTGCAGTTACTCAAACATGAGCGTTATTGTGGATCAGCTGTTTCCACATATTCGTGAGGCAGCTAACGAATACTCGCAGTTCGTCTACTGGCGAGATCCGATGCTTCAATTGGAGGAATTACCGGAGCTCTAATTCACTTAATGCTATAAATGCCATGTTCTCGAGCTTCTGGCATCTGACATCAGCTACAATGATGTCCGCATTTAATCAGTATCGTAATTCATAATAATAAATGTATGCAGCTCTTATAAAGTACATGTGAAACGATTTTATTATTCGCCTGAAAAAAAAAATATATAGGAATAGCTTTGCAACAAATGTAACAATGTATTCGTAGCGACGTTTTTGTGATCATACATTCTATTATTTTTTTGTTCTCTCTATATATACATATATATCTTATGACCTGTAGGAGAAGGCATAATAAGTTTGTCATTTAGTCTTTATTTTTGAGGGCTGTTGGTATTGTGATTGAAGCTACCAATAGATTACTTTAATTATATATATAATTTTGTTTTCCATATAAATTATTATTTTTTCACCAATTTGTACAATCTACTTTCGCAATTTACTTTATTATTATTATTTTATTTTTAATATTTTGTCTTCTATACATTATTATTATGATATTACATTTTTTTGTTTATTTCTGTTTTGTAGTTTATTAACTTGTGATATTTATTTTTAAATTATCTTTTCTCTTTCTTGCAAATCGCAAATGTAATTTGAGTTTATTTTTCGTTGTCGGTATGCGAAATTTGCGACAAATGATGTTGATGATGATTGAAGTAGTATATGAAGACATTGATGGGTTCTATTTTTTATTTACATATATATTTTTTATTTAACATATGTGGATGTATTACCATGTTGTTATAATGATACAAAATATATCTTACAATAAATGGAGCTTCTCGCTGAAATATATTAAAGTGTTCTTTATTTATAAAAATTTAAAAAAATATATAGAATTGTGTTTATTACTATGTATACAATTACACTTAAATATTATTAATTTTTTGTTCTTCATTCAGGAATTTTATTTAAATAGTTAAAAATTGCACGTAAGTTTAATTATGATGGGTACTTGACTACAAAGTTAACAAAAGTATTTTGAATCATATAAGATTATCGCATCTCACTCTGTAACAATTGTAGGAATGCTGGGATATCGATCTGTTTCATATTCCGTATTTTTTGGACTATAAACGCACCTTTTTGGGTCTATATCGCAAGCCCGACAACCGAAAGACCGTTTATTGAAATACCGACTATATCGAAATCCCGACTATATAGAAATTTTATAATTTTTACAATAACATTTTTAAATTATTTTGAAGCATAGTCATACTATTAATATTTTGAAGAAACTCACTTATAATTTTTATCATAATAATAACTATAAATATTATTAAATATTATTATTCATTATAAGAAATATTTTATAAGAAAATTTGTTTATTAATTGTTATTATTTAATATTTATAACAATAAATTAATTTTAATTTAGAATATTTCTTAATTTTAAGTTCTATTGAGTCAATGAAAACAAATACAATAATAAATATATATATTGTTATTAATAGTTAATAACAACAATTTATAATCTCAACTCCTCCCGTTATATTCTAGAAATAAAAAACTCGAGCGATGAATTTTTAAAATTATCTTTATTATAATACAAAAANNTCGGGATTTTGATACAGTCGAGCTATTCCGCGAAGATAACTCATTAATGTTCTGTTTTGGCGGTCATATATAATAAAAGACAGTGTCGAGATTTCGATACAGTCGGAATTTCGAACGTCGAGATTTCGAATGTCGGGATTTTGATTGTCCCCATTGTGGACCCCCATTATCATTTCATAGACCCCAAATTTTTTTTCGCTGACGTAGACCCCTTGCAGGTTGTCATAGTCCCCTGGGGGGTCGATATAGACCACTTTGGGAATCACTGGCTTAGAGTAATAAAACCCTTTTGGAGAAACGCTCTTTTTCTCATATTTTGTTAGTTTTACGAATCATTTATGTCACCCTCTTGAAAGGGACAGTATGTGAAAAACGGGCAGCTAACTATACAAACTATGCCACCCACATGGAAATTAGCCCCTACCCTTAGAATATTATTCTGTATTAAGTACGTCTTCTTACATATAAGACGACACTTATGTTATTTTAAGTTAGTCCTAGTCCTAGGAAGAGTCCCAGTCCTAAGAACAACCTAGTCCTAGTAATAGTTCTAGTTTTATACTAATCTTGAACAGCAACCTATGCTTGTAGCAACTGGAAGCTAGATTAAAAATCTTCATCACCTAAGTGTTAAATAAATACTATTATTGCACTAACTTTAATCTAGACTCTTCTGTAAAACCCACTAAGACTCCACATTGACAATACAACAAATATTTCCATTATTCTTTAACAATTTCTCTTGAATTAACTACACATAATGTGATTTGTTGGAAAGGTAAAGACCACCTTACAGTACTGATTGTTATTATTTCGGCGATCGATTGAAAGTCCAAAAAAAAATCGATATTTAGCAAACAATGAGGAATTCGCACGCGACATAAGCGGCGTTGCGTAAGCCGTCGCCGCTATTTATCATTTACTTTCCGCGTACTTTGTACGTACAGCAAGTATGCAACGAGAGAGAGTGCACATAACAGGCAGCAGGAGAAGGAACAAAAAAAAATAAATACTTAAATTACACTTTTACGGCCGACTTAAATAAAAGATCGATGGATACGAAACTCGTTACTTTCTCCTTCACGAGACGAAAATAAATCTGTTTTGCGATTACGCAACACGATTATTATCGTTTTTATTATTGTTATTATTAATAATATCATGTTAGTATTTTCTGGAAAAAAAAAGAATGCTCGAAAAAGCAAAGTTATCACATTTTATTGATTTTTTTCAGAAACTATAGTAGATAGAATGGATCCAAAAGATGCACATAAAAGCTGGATGTTTTGAAAACATTCGTTTGGACGTATTTCAAAAACTTTACTAACTAAAAATTTCAGAATATTATATTATTGTATAGACAAATAAGAATCTATTGGAAGAACCGTGTCTATTTTAAAAATTATATAAATGTCAAACGTGAATATTTTTTTTTTAATTAACACACTAATTTATTCATCTATGAACTACGATAATATCTGTTTAAACCTTTAAATTTCAACAAGATGCATGAAAAAACAAAGAACTAATTTGTAGCTCGCACTTGATCATCATTAAAAATAAATGGATTAATCTAATTCGTAAATATTGAAGAAATATTGCAGTATCAAATGTGCAGAAATAGAAATCGTCAGAATTCAAATCCAAACAACTTTCGGCAATTTAAATTTAGACATTTTTTTAGATGACTGTTATTGTTTCATTTTGAATTTATTACTTTCAAGTTTTCATCTGAATTATGGAGATTAAGATTTTTATATTTTCAAAGGTGAGATAATTTTTAGAAAGTATATTTTGCATTATTTAGATGAAACAACTTTAAACCGAAGTTCTTCATCTTCTTGAGGATTGGATCAGAGTTTGTTGCATGGATTGATACGGCGATGATTAACGGCGAAAATATTTAGGAAGTGACGGCTTCGCGCACACGTTAGACATAATAACAATTGTCGATTGGCATTCAGGACGGAAGGCTGTAATGTAATTGCAGTTTGCAATCCGCGGGCGCCGAAATCATTTGCTAATTGTTTAGAAAAAGCGCTCCTCTTTTGGTCACGAAACGCGTGCACGGAATCCGCGCACTTTCCATATGCAAACTGCATTTAATCGACCGGCAATTACCCACCAAATTCGTCAACTTAAATTTAGACCATTCCAATAGCAAATTGTAGATTCCAATAAGCTATTCGTGCTGCAAGATATCTGTTTCCAATGACTGAGGGGGGAAAACGCAAAAGTCGCAAATAGTTCTAAATACGCTATTCATGTGCGAAATGTTACAAGATCTTCGCTTCCGATACCTTCAATAAATAATAGCCATAATCGTTCGTACTTGGCTTACTTTCGTTGAGGAGGAGAGGGCGACACAATGAATCTATGTATAATAGCAATTCGGATCATTTAATGACCTCTTCGTGCCACCAGAACGGTCGTCATCACGCGACGACATGCCAATTAACGACGGTAATTGCCATCCTCTCTCGTCGCACTTAATTAATCCGCCAATTTCAAATTAAATATTATCCTTAAGCAAATCACACTTATTTGTTTGCAAAGGCGACACTCGCACTCTAGGTTCATTGCCATTTGCGTTACGCAAAGACCGAGTTGCCAATACAATTGCCCAACAGGACAATAAATAAAGAAATATCACGGCGTGTCCTTTTGACAAGAAGACGAAACATGCATTGATTGCAGGATAATTTAAAGTTAAATAAGATTATAAATCTCATTTTTGTCTTTGATTTATAAATATATTTTAAATTGAGTAATTTACAGTACTAAAGTATATTTGTTCCAAGTTCCAAGAAATTAGTGGAGAGACGGAATTTTCTTTGGACTTGACTTTAATACGAAAGAGGATACTACGAGAAATACAAATTTCTTGGCGATTGTAGTACGTGCACACGGATACCGGGAATTCCTCCTGTACGTGTTGAACTTGACTTTGCGGAGGAAACAAAGCGCCAAGCAAAAGGAAGGATTGCCGTGGGAATGAACGAACGAACCGTGTATGGAAATAAAAACCTTCTTTTTGTCGCTATTTACAAAATGCATTAGGATTTGCAAAACGATTTTTGCGCAACAGAAGTGCGTGTCCATCTGCAAATATTGACGGACGGCCTCTCAAATACTTTGCGCAAACAATTTTAACGCCTCTCCTTCTACTGTGCCACCCATCATCATCATAGTTAAAGTTCTTCGTTGAATTGGCATCTTCGATTTGCATTCAGCGTGCAACGTCCGATCGATACGATCATCTTCGTCAAAGGCGCTTCATCTTCACGGCACGTAACGCCGAACGGATCCCCAGTCGCAATATCAATCATTGCTTTCTATAACGATCATACATTAAGTACAGCACACTCTCAAATTGGTTATGCGTGAAGGCTTCTCCACGTGCGGCCACGCACCGAAAGCAAACACAGAAGTCCAAGTAAATAAGGAAACACTATTGTTCCCGGCTCGAGGAAAGAGTTACTCCCTAACCCAAATTCCCACACGTACAAGTAGAAATCAATGCAGGTCCAAGAAGAAAGTGCAGCTAGTTGTAATAAAACTGGAGTAGTCCATTAAAAAAAATAACGTATATTTGAAGACGACAGTAATAACCGTTCATCATCCAAATAGAATAACATTCTTGAACAAACTAAACATTAAATATAATAAATTAATTAAGTTACACATTTTAAGATTAAGAATAAAAGAAGAATTAAGCTGTTAAATATAATAAACTGGTCAGGTTTTCGTTGCTGAAGAGATCAACGTGAGATCAAAGGCTAGAGGAATGCAATAAATATGGTGATTACAAAACTAATACACGATTCAACCCATCGCTCATAGCACGATGTAAACAACGTACAAGTCATTCGATTAAATCATTACTAAATCCATTGAAATTGAGTCGATTCAATTAATGCCAAACATTTCTGAGCGTAACAAAAATAAAAGAAGACATCACGGCAGAAATGATTAGTAATCGATTGAAGTAATCATCGAAGGCGATAAAAATCTGTCAAAGACAAAGAGGAGAGAACGAGGCCGTTCAATCGAACGGACGGACGAAGATGCTGTTGCTGCTGCACAACAATGAGAAAAAGAAATTCAATTAATCAACGACGAACAAGGACGAGAAGCAGTTGCTGCAAGGAGCGAGAGAAAATCAAACACTTTCAAAAAGTTCATTTCGCAAATTGCCGATGAAAACTTTCTCGATCGAAGAAGAAAATCACTCTCCATGTAAAACAACTTTTGATTATTTTTTTATATTACATCGAATCAATTTCAATATATTTATTCTGAATTTAATTTATAATAAACCTTAATACTGAATACATTTGTTTTGCTGATTAAACGTATTACTTGCGTTTATGGGTATACAAAGAGAGTTGCGATGAAATCTTGCATGTTTCTCCACATGTCTACATTGCAAGAATAAGAGAAATAATCTGTTGCGAATTAGTATTGATAATTGAAGATTAAATATGTTACTGCAGAGTAAGTGTGTCATATACAATTACACAAAAAAAAAACGAGCAGATTACTGTTAATACCAACCAAAGGATTGTTAGCTCTGGAAGGCCTTCGAGCAATTACTTCATTTGTCTGAGGAAGAAGAAGTAGAAAAAAAAATGAGCAGAAGGAAAGAACGGCTCTTTCTATCTGCTCATATTCAGGTGACGGCCAAGAACGGGAGCCTGCAATTAAGAGGCGAGTTGCGAACTCTAATATAAAATGTATTTATTGGCAAACACACGCCAAGTCCACACACACACACACATCAAACCAACATGCAATTAGTACTATAATAATTCAAGTGCCAAGAGGCCGAAATCATTGCGAAACGTTCGATCAAAAGGAACTGGGTTAGATGCAGGTTCGCTTTTCATTTATTTGCAAGTAACGTCGCGTTTCGTTTAAACGAATGAGAGGATTTTATTCATTCACGAACATCATCATCGCGGTTTTCCTTACTGGAAAAATCATTGAGATGCCGGACGAATAAAGTTCGACCATAAATAATAAGGTAATAATTATTTATAAAAGAAAAAGAAAAGACGCTCTAGCCTCACCTTCTTATGATTCCACATCACATTCACGCTGGGTTTGCCTCTGCGAAAATCCGATTGATCGATCACGTCGTCATGGACCAAGGAGGCCGTATGGATCATCTCTGAAATCATCGCAACTTCCCTCTGCGACGGTATTAAACCACTGCAAAAAAAAAACAATAATTTATTAAATATTTAATTAATTGTATTATCAAACACAAATATTCGCATCAAGCGAAGTAAATAAGAAATGTTATTGCAGAATATTAGACAACAAACGTTAGTTTGTAATCACCACGCAACTAACTTCCTTCGTCAATATTGCTTAACTTCAATCAACGTTAAGATAAAACAAACAATTTACAGCTTTGGCATTTGTGCTTAATTGGTTGTGAATGAATAAGTCGATCCTCGGACTTTAATTAACCATTGTCGCATGATTTTAAATACTTTCCATTTCGCATCTCATTTCATATATATATTTTTAATTTATAAAATATCAAGAAGTAATAAAGTCCGCTTTTTAATTACTGCAATAACGACATTCAACTAATTACAGGATCCCATCAAAGCGCAAGAGATTTTCATTTACATTTTATATTTCCTTCGGTTATTTACAATTTATGAAAGCAATGATTATTCAATAAATATTTTACAATGATTTGAATATTATAAATTATTATACATTTTCTTGTCTTATTTAAAATGTATAACAGTATTGATTATTCAATATAAATTATTACAAATTTACAATGTTGATATTAATTTCGTTGATTTCCTTAAATACAACTTTTAGTTTAGATGGGAAATAAGTATTTAATTTGATTTCAATATACAAAATCTGTTAAAATGTTAATTTACTATGGGAAACGGAAAATATAAAGATAGTCGAATACAAATTCGATTCTAATAGCATCAATATTAAGTGTTTAACACAATTAAGGATATCTCTTGGATCTTCCAAAAAAGAGGTCTTAAAGCACCCGAGAAATTGTATTATATGTATATATTTGTAATATATAGGAAACAATTATGTTGTTTTACATATACCTAGGATATAGTTGAAATCTAATGGGCTGGGCAAACCGAACCGAACCAATTAAATCAATAGATATGTAACGCAATTTACGTAACGCATTTTTCCCCACATTTTATTATTATTTTTTTTTTATGTAAGATCGTTCAGTTAGAAAGTATCGGTTCCTGCGATGGATTCATTTCATACCCATTCTGCCAATTAATTATTATCGCGACTAATTGGTCAATTTATCGACGGGGAATTTGCGTTCGATTGCAAAAAAAAGTAGATGTCGCAAGTCTTCTTTTAGCTAATTTCACATCAACGATAAAACTGACTGTTTCATGGGGATGCTTTCCTTTCAAGACGTCGATCTTAACGATCGTTATGTAATGATGATGTTGATGGGAATGCGATGAATGAACGTTCGGGACCTTGGCAGTGGGTTTCTGGTCCCAAGGTCGGCAGGTGTAACCGTAAAATGAACCATCAATAGATGAACGCAATCATCCCAAAACGGGCGGAAGACGCCTTTGAAACCGAGAACCAGATGAAGAAGCGGACGTTGATGATGGAGGAGGCAAAGGTACGTCGTGATGTAACGCAACTAGTTACGTGCACGGGCATCTCAAGAACCACCAGAGGCAAACACATAAATTCGTTCACGTGACACCGAAGGAAACGAACTTTGATTCCATTAGAATCAATATACCAGTAAAACCAAAGATAATTTTGGAAACGTTCGATTCTCGAAACATTTGTATGTGAATTGCTTAAGTAACGAATACAAATATTTATACGTTGCAGCCACTTGTAGTGTAATTAATTATTAATAAAAATTATAAGCTTTTTCAAGATAATATAAAAAATTGAATGCAACATAAAAACTACATATTTTCTTAACTTATTAACATCACAGTTATGAAATTATCGTATATTCAAAAGTATATTTTACTTGTATTTTATTCTAGCATTAACTCATTCAATGTTTAAAGTTTTGAACTTAATTATATAATATTAATATACTAGTGTTAGTATATCTGCAATTGAAGCTTCGAGTAGAATAATTAATAAAATAAGACGTAAGCAAGAAGTATTTGAGATTCATTTGAGGAAAAGCGCAAAAAGAAGTCGTAAAATCCAAGGAGCCGAACGAGAGAGGAATTCCAGAATTAAACATATTCGTTGAGAGCATGGAATACCAATTAGGTCGAACCCATCTCTCGAGTTCTTTCTGGTCGGCAAAGAGGTAATCAGAGAAGACGAGGGAATTCACCTGACCGCATGCACGGAAATTAATGGACCTCGGCCTGTGTCGAAAGGCCAATTACACCTCTTTATCTACGCGCGCATCGGTCCACCTCGCATTACGTAATTCCGATTCGAAACCGATTGCTTTTGGGCCCACGGATAAGCATAGATATATATTCAGAAAGTATTATTGACTTGAAAACGTACATTATTATGCAATAGATTTGTTGAATACTGAATTATTTACCTTTTGCCTTTGTACATGTGGTAGTTGATGGCGCGAGCCATCAAGATCGCAACCATCGGTCGGATGGCTTTTCCTTGTCCATCGAAGTAGTAAGTCGCTATTTCGTGCAGCTCTTCTTGGTACGTGTTCCTGCGAAGAGCCTTAACAAAAAGGAAAAAAACAAGAAAACGACATTAAAACAACGCATTTTTTCATGTAAATCTAAGGTGATAACAATCGTCTTTTGCTAATTATAACGTCCTTCCAATGCACGGATTAAGTGCGCATCTGTAGAAGTGTACGCAGGTGATTAACACCTGAGGAACGTTGATATTTCGCACAAATTACAATCAATTTTGTAACGCGATGTACACAAACGCACACACACGATGCAAAGTGGTACAATAACCTGCCTCCGGGTAAATGTAACCTTGATGGTAGAACTTTTAGAGATGGATCATATCATCACGATGTTAAACTTTGGGCTCCATCCATGTGAACTATACGAAGAAACAGGTTAATTGCGGCACTTTCCGAAAATGAAAAAAAACAAGTGAAAGCTAATTTTTCTGTTCACAATATGTACATAAGTAATTATCAAATAGGATTTAATCAACATTTTATAATTATCGTAATTTAAATACGAAAAAAAATAATAATTGTTTCGTGTTTTTATTTTTTTTTAATTAATTAAGTTTTGATTATTCACGCAACTTTTGGGTACGTTAAACTTGGAGAGTTCGAAAAAAAGAAATGTGTAATTAAAAATTTAAAAAAAAAACATAAATATACATAAGGAAAATATGATTGAACTTTCGAAAAGTTACACAAAATCTGAAACGATCCAATCACATGGCGAAAATGGACAAAGGTTAATGAACTTCTTGCATAAAACATGTGAGAAGTGTAAAAATAGAGTAGTGATTAGTTTTCAAAGTAGATTAGGGTTACTTAGAGGAAAGTATATTTACTTGTCTGATGTAGCCATAAACATCCTTAAGATCATCCTCCAGAAGATGGTAAGGATCTACTTGGTATTCCGGCAGTGATCCCGGTTGCTGTGTCCTCATCGTTGCAAGACTCCTCGCTGTTGCTGCAAACTCGGGCCTGCTGCAAGGGTGAAGACTTCCAACGGAAGCAGCAGCCGCCGCCGACGCAGCCAAAGTGTTCTGCAAAAAAGAAACAAACCATGAGTATCCAGTTTTTCCAACAACGACCTTTTGACACAAGCGTGGCATTTAGCGAAACTTTCCCGATTCCCAAATAATTTATGTGTAATTTAAACCTGCGCTTATGCAAAAATTTTGTACGTGCATATTTCGGGACAAAATTTATGCGCGGAGAAAGAACGTCGGTCAGAAGAAGAGGAAAAAAAAAACAACGTCAATTCGCGCGCTTTCTCCTCTCGAACTATTTGCACCTCTCGAAGTTCATTAAAAGTCTACTGATTTGCATACAGACAACGATTACGGTTGTATTAAGCAAATTGAAGAATTCGTAACAATGAACAACAATTAGTTGAAAACCTAATATAAATGAATTTCAAATCCAAATAGAGATACGTGAAAATAAACTGAAGACAGAAAACGTATATAAACTTAAGTCGCAGATGTTAAAATCAAAAGTTTAGAATTAGCAAGAAGGCAAAGAAGGTCAACCACCTGACGACAGTTTAGAAATTACATTTGTAATATATTACTTGTTCTCTGTCAGATGTAAATATGAATTATTTATTACATTTTTTGGATAAATTCGAAGGAAAAACCAAAGAACTAGCAATTGAATGCAATCGATTCTCACATTTTTTTTCAATAATTTCCAAATGTTAATCCACCAATCAGATATGAATCACGTCTGATATAATTGATGATGATCCGCGTTACGTAACACTTGATTCACAACCTGGTATACACATTTTTTTAAAATAACATAATTAAGATCAAAGATCGATAAAGTCAGTTGATTTGCATTTTTAATTAATTAACTCGTTAAATGTTATCAAAAATAATTTAATTTCTTTTTTTTGTGTTCAAAATAATTATCAAATAATACAACTATCAATGAGGGCTTAGTCTTTAGTTATAAGAACCAAAATGAAATATTTAATTCCCAAAAGTAGGGTCTTCTAAGCCAAATAAGATGGAATCACCAACAAAAATGATAAAGTTGTTTCTTTTCATTTAATATTTTGTTCAAAGCAAAAACTAGGTTAGTTGGATGTCGGATTTCCATTTTAGAAACACGGAGAAGTAGTCAAGTTTCAAAATTGGGTGTGGCAATGTTTACATCTACCACCGACCGACAATAATTTCAGTACCATATGGAAGCTGGCACAGCAAAGAGCATATGGTAATCCAAAGAGAGCTGCTGATTCACCAGAAGAAGGTAATAGCAATTCTAAGATACGAAGATCGCGTTTCCGGTGCCGACGAACATTTCCGGACAGGTTTTTGGATGAGGCCTTTTTCGGTGAAAGCGAAGACAACTTTCGATCACTTTCTTAACAAAAACTTTCGTGCTGCTTGCACCACCGTCGCATCTTCGAGAAGATGTACAATCATAATTATAATAAGAGACCCTTTATTGATAATGAAAAGCGCTGCAATTTTTTTTTTATATCAGAACTCGTTTCGAGAAGAGGAGGAAAATTGGTCTGGGTGTTCTACACTCGTGAACAGCAGACACGTCACTTTCACATTCCACGGGAATGTGGGTTAGAAGAAGCTGCGCTGCGGGCCATCATCTTCATCTTCTTCTTCGGAACGGCGACAGTAACAAGAGCTGAAAGGTACAGGTGTATAGTAGCGACGACAGCATTTTCGACTTCTTCTCGTTGCGCACACACCTCGCGGATTGGCCAACGACGTTTGACCCCAGAGATCATTTACCTATTTAGATTATTAATAATTTTGTAATGCCTTTTACCATCGAAAGGACCTTGGGTTCTATTCATACACGATAATCGGAGATTGCGGACCGGGGAGAAACAACGCAAAACAAAAAAAAAAACATAAATATTTCCACACACTCACACAAGAAATCAACAAATATAAGCGAGATTCCTTGTACAAAACAAAACACATGCATCGACAATTTCTAATTAATCGCTAGATTTATTCCTATCCAATTGCTTTTGATTGTTTTCAAATAAAATACATTTAAGCAATGATTATTATTTCTTTAAGATTTCAGAAACCACTCAAGTTAATTAGATCATCGAATATGCAAATTAAAGAAGAAATTCTGGCCTTTCAAATGAGCTAGATTTGAGCTATTTACCATTCTCTTGTAATAAACTGTCAAATTTAAATTGCCACGCATGGAAAATTTAATTTTTCCAAAATATTCTGATTAGTAACTGTACGTAAAATTGTAATTGAAATATACAAAATTGCAAAATTTCCAACCTAATTATTTCATACAAAAGTGACAACAACAAAATACGAAATCATGGATGTGTTATATATTATTATTTTTTTTGTAATGAATGAAAATAAATAATTGGATTACACAACAACATCAGAGAGGCTGCGAAATATGCCTAATTGCAAAGAGTCGGATGCAGCCAACAAACAGCAACAACAACAACAACAAAAAAGTTGTGACAATGGGAAGTACGATTAAAGCACCATTAGATTGTCGGCGCGTCACTAATTCGACTTAATGTCAGGATGAACGTGTGTATGTGTGACACCTGTGACGAGGAGTTAAACTTGCGACAGAGCAGCAACAACTAATTAGCAATTAACAGCTAAAAGCGCAGCTGTTTTTTTTTCTTCTTCAAATTACATCTCTCTCTTCTGAAATTTAGAAAACGCGAAATTATAGAGAGATAGATAGATGGAAAAAAAAATATATGCTGCACATAAGTTTTAGTAGTACACAATATGCAATTCGCGTTTGCGAAACTCGTATCGCAATCGGATGCAATTCGAGAGATATAAAAGAGCGTTGCAATAACTCACCGTTTTATTCTAATTCCGTTCGGTACGTGTATTTCAATTTACTCTTGTTGTTGTTATTACATATACATTTTTGTATTATTACCCGTTTTTTTTTTTTCATAATCCTAAATCGTTTTATTGAGAGCAGAACGAGGATTTCGAAACGAACCACACACACACACACACATCGACATCGAATTTCGCAAAACCAAACGATTTTATTATTATTATTCCTCGACCAATATTGGTGCAAAATTTACATTTTTTTTCTCTCGAAATACGTCAGAACCAAAAAATTTGCATGCTAGTTCTTTCAAAACAAATTCCATAAATCTATTATTATATAATAATTCATAAATAATTACAAACTAATAAACATATGTATAAAAATTTCTTATTTAGTTGTTTCTAAAATAAACATATATTAATTAATAGAAACAATAATCTTGCTGTTTCCTTCATTTAATTACAAATTGAACGAAGGGGAACCGTCCGACTTCCGATTGCTAAATGAGGAGAGAACAAGAGCAAACAGAACAGATCGGATTATATAATTTCGCGAAATCGGCGATTTGATAATAATAATTATTATTGTTGTTATTGGCAAAGAATCTTCACGATGTGCTTTCCAAATGTAGAGAGAGAATCGATTTGGCCACGTTTGTGAAACGCTTTTGCAATGAGAGACGACAGAGAGAGGAGAAGTTCGTTAAATGGAAATGATTTTTTATTTTATTTTATTTTTATTTACGCGCTTCTCCCATTAACACATATCTTTCTTAATTCTTAGAATTATGTCCACAGATTGCGAATGCATTTTTTTTTATATAAGTAAATAACATTTACTTAATATTTTTCAACTTAATTAAAAGTTAGCAAACTTTTGCACAAATCAATAAAATAAAATTCTGTTATTTTTTTAACATAAATATTTTCTTATAAATTTATATAGAATCTATTTTCGTTACTTTGTAATTAAAATTGCATTATTTTGAAATTGATTATGTATATTTTATAGCGATTAAAATTTATGTTGCAATTAAAGTCTTCAAACCTATAAACTTGGCAATTAATATAATAAATGGAAAATAAAATATTATATTTATGAATACTTCATGGTAAAGTGTAGCAAAATAAAAAAGGTAAAGACATTCCTAAAGATTAAACCAACAAAAAATAAAGTTTGCTGATCCTTATTTAGTGATGTCCCAATTAAAATAACTTTATATAATTATAATATGCAGTTTCGAATCAATTGAAGCTACGACTATTGAGGATAAATCTATTAAATATAATGCATTCTTGAATACATAATAAAAATTGTTAAATTAACAGTAAACAAAAATAAAGCAGATTTGAGCAAAGATTGTAATAATTCCGCATTGCTCACTTGTTATTGTTGTTCTTTTCGGTAATCTTTCTTAATCTTGACTTAAGTGAAACAAATTTATGTGCATCTACTTGTTTTCTACATTATTTATACTACATATTTCTTTTTTTTTAACCAAACGGAGGAGTCCTTCTGCAGATGACTCAATCTCCGAATGAAAAATGCATGACTGCAACTTCGATATCCGGAACGTAAACTCGCGAAAGAATGAGAGTTAAAGAAAGAGACAACATCGATTGCAGATTATCCAACAACAGCAGCAGCATCTTCGTGAGAGCTTCACTTGCGCAATTCGTTTTATGCAACGTCTCTCGATTGTTTCGGAGATTTGGGAATTATGCAGATCCGATTTAATTGTATTAAGAATCCGCTGAAGTAATCCATTATTTATTTTATTTTTTTATGTTATTTCGGTGAAAGAGTCGATTATTCAATAATGGTGGAATGCGGATCGTGTGCGTGTACGTATGGATATTACGTGCTGCAAAGGAACTCACTTGAACTGAACGCGATTACGCAACGCACCAAATAAAGTTTCCTGATTCGGCAAATGCCAAAAGGAGAAAGAGAAGTCCGTCTCTTCGATCAATTTTATTATTATTATTTACCCGCAACGTACACTTCATGAACAATTTTTTTTTTCTCTCTTTTCCATATGGAATAACTTTCCAACAAATGTGCATACATTACGGTGAATGCTAATGATTTACATAAAGTTTTAGAAACCTTTTTACCCGAATAGCCCAATTCAGCATTGTCCAAAACTCTTTAATAAACTTAGAATTGCAATCAAAACTTTTGTGCATAACAAAGTGTGAAGTGTTGTGAGCAAAAG